AGGCTGGGACTGTAAACCTGGCAAGGAATCGCTCTTTTCTTGCCATTAAGAATAACTTTGGGGGTTTGTTTTGCTTTGTTTCTTTTGGCTGGGAGCGAGGTGCTAATATCCATGTGTTCTCTGTGATCCCCTGCAATCCGTATGGGCCTTAGCACAGCAGGGTCTGACTTGGAAGGGACCCAGCGGAGGAGAGGGGAAAAACAAAAAAAAAGGGTGTTTTTCTTCCCCCCCTCCTTTTGCTGATTGAATATTTGTTTTATATTGAAGTGCCTGTAACTAAACAGGAGGAGGTTGTTTCCAAGAGGAGAAAGCATTAACATCCTGTCCCTTAGGCTGAGACTAAACATCATCCACCTGCTTTCTAGATCCTTGATGGAGAAACAGGATCTTCATGATATTTATGAACCCCCTGACTCAACTATTTAAAACTCAACTAAAATTATTTAAAGATGGGCTTGACTTCAACTTAACTATTTAAAACTACTAAAACTATTTAAAAATAGGCTTAACTGGAAGGGTTCAGGAGTTAAAAAAAGGGAGGGAAATGCTGTCTGAGAGCTGCATCAGGCCTTCAGAATTCCCTGGAATGTGATAGAAAATCATGCCTTTCCACAGGTGACTGTTGGGTTTGATGCCTCAAGTTTAGCAGGGGTTAAAACATTTTTGTTTCTCTGGAAGAAGGAGAAGAAAAAGAAGTTTACAATGTGCCAAGGGCTTAAAAATGTGTAATAAACAAGGGCACGTAGCAAACGAGCTGTGCAGAGGATTTATTTAGTAACAAAAGGAAGCCATCGCTGATACACTCCCTAAATTTGGGTTTCCATCGCCCTAACACGCCACTTGTCACGAGTGTGGGGTCAGGATCGGAGCGAATCAACCCAAAAGCAGGCCTGCCCCCCTTCCCTGAGGTTGTGGGAACACATCCTATCGCAGATGCCGCCACACAGGAATGAGCTACCAAGAAAAATGAGATGGGAAAAGCAGCAATTCATGGGCCAGAGCCAAAATCAGGGGTGCCTGAGTGCCCAGGGTGCTGCTGACCTGGCTCTGAGCTCGCTCCTGAGAGACCTTCTCAAATGAGGGTCTTGACCTCGGTGGGAGCCCTTCCAGTGACTTTTGGATGTGTCCCTGTATCAGTAACACGGAGTTGGTATCAAAACTGCTGACTCGACAGCACAAGGGAACTTGAAGGGGTGAAAAGAGCTTTTAATTTAATTTTGAACCACATTGGTTAATGTAAATCATGGTAGGGAGTGGACACTGAACAGTCCACATCAGGAAGGTGACAAACACTTATATTTTCCAAGTGGTGATTTGATAAACAATTATTAATCGCCTTGATACATTAAAGTCATCGGTGCTGTAGAGGCCTAAGTTTTCAGGAAGAAAGGGATCATGATTTCAACCACCTGGTTGAACCAAGACCCCACCTGGAGGGAGCCCTTCCTCCAGCTCCAGGGTCCCCAGCACAGGACGGACACGGAGCTGTCAGAGCGAGTCCAGAGGAGGGACACGGAGATCATCAGAGGGATGGAGCAGCTCTGCTGTGAGGAAAGGTGAGAGAACTGGGATTGTTCAGCCCTGAAAAGAGGTTTGGGGGTGACCTAATTGTGACCTTCCAGTACCTGAGAGGAGCTAACAAGAAACAGGGAGACAGACTGTTTACAAGGGTCTGGAGTGACAGGACAAGGGGGAATGGCTACACACTGAAAGAAAGTAGCTTTAGGTTGGATATTAGGGGAAAATTCTTGGCTGTGAGGGTGGTGAGGCCCTGGCACAGTTTTCCCAGGGAAGCTGTGGCTGCCCCATCCCTGGAAGTGTCCAAGGCCAGGTTGGACAGGGCTTGGAACAACCTGGGATAGTGGAAGGCGTCCCTGCCCATGGCAGGGGATGGAATGAGATGATCTTCAAGGTCCCTTCCAACCCAAACCATTCCACAATTTGATGATCTTGGACTTTGGTGGTGGGACTTGATGATTCTCCACCAAAACAGACTGTACTTTGCTGTGAAGCAAATTTTGCTTCTTTTAAGTATTTTAATGTCTCCTTTTAAGACAAAACACATAAGGATTTTTACCAAATCCCGTGTTTTTCAAGTGACACAAGGATTTTGGAATTTTTTTGCCGGAATATACATAACTTCTGGTTTTTGAGACTGACCATAGAACAGCACGAGGGGGAGTATTTGTGGGATGTTTGATTTGTAGCACAATCACATGCCAAAATTTATTATGGAGAATAGCAGGAGAGCCTAAGCAGAGCTGACACACGGAGCAAGGGCCTGCTGTTTGCTTTCCATCAGGAGTTTGTCTGGAATTTGCATTTTTAGACTATGCTGAAAGCTCTGTCTCTGTTTGGGGGACAAACTCAGAGGTTTGCTGAGTGGTGGCTTGGCTCCCACCCAGGAGAGCTTCAGGAAAAGGCTTTTTGAAGCCCTCCCTGCACTTCCATGGTCGGATTCTTCCCAATACAAAGATCAGCTGAACAGCAAGAGGTAGGAATTGTCCACCAAGGGAAGCTACTTGTACCAGCCTCTTTCTATCCCCCCCAGAACATTCTCACTCCAGGATCCTCAGCTATTGAACTCATGTGATTCTATGCATGTAAAGAGGTCCAGGTTATGTCAGCGAGCCACTGGACAAGGATCTCTGGATCCTGGAAGGGATGAGCAGGGCTGCAGTCCAGGCTGCTCTTTCCAAAGTCTGCAGCATCCTCTGGTGGAGCCGTAAGGAAGGGAGAGCCATGCAGGGAAGAGGCACAGTGAGGTTTCATTTGGGGTCTCCAAAAATGCCCCCCAGTTTTGCTCCAATTCCCCAGTGCCCCCATGCCAAGCAGGTGATGCTGTGTACGGAAAGCTTTCAGCCACCCAGCAGCCAGCCTGGAATTTGGGGGACATTTCCATCCCTTGTTTTGCTGGAGCTGTCCTGGCTGACCCTGGGTGAGTGTCCGATGGGTCAGGAGCAGAACCTGTAGCCTGACTGGCAGAGCTGACTCCCAGCTTCTCCCCTTTTCCTGCTCTTAGTCACCACGATCAGAGCCCGAGGTATTTCTTCACTCCCAACCAAAGGAAATACTCAGATAAAATCTGAGCTCTCAGGCTGCGATTCTTTCCTGGATTTTGTTGTGTTTTGGCTTCAGGGGCAAAACAAGTTGCTTTATTATGACATTCTGGGGCCTGGAATGTTTGACTCACCACAGGGCACCCAGGTTCAGTGTCTTCCTCAGATTGAGAGGGTTTGGACACCTCTGGGCTGCCTCTCACCCATTTTTATCCCTCCTCTTGTAACTCCAAAGAAAAATTAAGTGATCTGGAGAGAGCAACTATGACACCCTTTCTCCCTCTTCCCACGCAGCAACCAGGATGCTCAAGGGAGAGATGTGGGGAGTGTGGAGACTTCCTTCTGTTCTAGGAAGCTCCTGAAGTGCACGAGAGCAGCCAGAACATTTGGAGAATCGAGTGAATCTCCTGAGAAACAAGACTGGTGGATGGAGGGCAGCGTGAAACCCAGCCTGGAGTCACGCAGCCGCCGGCGTGCCGAAGGTGCAATTCCAGAATCCCTTCTGGGCCGCTCGGGCAAAGATTGACACGCGGATACAACCCGGCGCTGCCAACTTCTCCAGCAATTCACTCAATCCTTGTGAAAGCAAGGCTAAATTGGCCGGGAGCCTTCACTTCATCTTCCCTCCCAACTCCTCTGGGTGAGAACTGTTGAGCAGACCAGGTTTCTGATAAAGTAAAAGCAAACACCATTCCCTCGTGCTGAGATACAGGAATATTATCCTGACATTTTAGCATGGATCACTCATATTGCTGCTCGTTCTCTCCGCTCCAAGAGCTGTGTCTTGACAATAGAAACATTCCCCGACTACAAACAAAATAATCAGGGTTGAAAACCAAATTCAGGGTGGAAACATTCCCTCCTCCGTGGGAGTGATCCATCAGGCTGGATTTACCTCCCAGACTCTCCCAGCCTAAGCAAATTGAGTTTGCACAAGTTATTTTTATTTAAAATATTTTGATTTACAATATTTTTATTCTGTCTTTCCTATAGTAGTCTCGTTTTCAGGGAAATGCACAAACATTTTCTAATATCAGGCCAAAAGCCTGATAATTACAGGGTCAGGGCTCAAATTTGTGTGATAGGAGTGTAAAAAAGAAAGGTAAACAGCACAGATGTCAGCCTCTTCCTGATTTATTTTTATGAAGGAATTTCTTTTACATTTCCTCAAGGAATTAAAATCGTTCAACATTTTTTTACAAGCAATTACAATTTCAAGATTAAATCTGCACTTAGTTAAAAAAAAAAATGCACCCAAGGAGGAATTTATCTTGGAAACAAGACCGGTGTGTTGAAGCACTTGGCAGCCCACAGATTTGTCCCATACGTTGGCTGTTTAAAATGATTTTATGTGATAAATAACAGGAATATGGGACCATCAGTGGGAAATAGCAGTTTGTGCTTCTCCTAAGCCCAGGTTTACCCCATCAGAGTTAGGAGCTGGTTTCTATAAACATCTCTCTTAACACTGGCAGTGTTATCTCTCAGTATCCACAGTGGGAGAAGGCGAAGAGCTGGATGTAGCTGGCACAGCAAACCGGGCTCCATTATAACTCTATTTAATTCACCTGAGGGAACGAACCCACTGAGGCCAATTGAAATTGATTAAACACCGAGACCGGGTGCTTGGAAAGCGCGAGAACAAATTTTTAATTTTTTTTTTTTTTTAAATTTCGCGTTGATTGGGGGTGTGAGTTTTTTGCGGGTTAGGCGTCGTTTCGGGGTGGGTTTTTTTGCGGGTTTAGGGTGTTTGTTTTGGTTTATTTCCCCCCAGCTTTGTTGGAACCGCCCTGCCCTCACTCAAGATGGCGGCGGGGCTGAGGCGATGAGGCGGCGGCGGCCATCTTGGTTTCGGGCGGGGGCGGCGGAGGCGGCGGAGGGTAAGGGCGGCCACAGGCCGGGAGGGACCCCCGGGATGGAGCCCGGGAGCGTCGGGAAACTCCTCCGGGAGCGATCCCGGCTCCTCCTGCTCGCCGGGAGGGCGACCCCCGGGCCTCGCCGCCTCAGGGACCGGCGGGGAGGTGCCCCCCCCCCCCCCCCCCCCCGTGCCCTGAGGCGGCTCCCGCTGGTGCCAAGCGCTGGGATAAAACAATTCCCGCTCTCTGGTTTCCTTGCAGGATTTAATAAATGAAAACGCAGAAGATGAGCGCGGCTGTGCCGGCGGCACAAGGAGGAGCAACACGGCGCGGGATCATCCCCAGAGGATGGTGAGCCTTGGTCCCGTTCCAGCCGGGAAGCGGGCGCGGCCTGGATTTCCTCGTGGGAGGAGCCTTTCCAGGGCTGTCTCGAAGGTAACCAGGCAGAAATCGAAGGGCTATGTGTTCTAAAAAAAAAAAAAAATCCCAAAGTTTAAGACTTGGAGGAATTTGGCCAGCAGGGTGCTGGAGGATGGATGGGGATTGTTCTGGAGCATAAATTGAGGTTCTTCTGGTGGGCAGATGGAGATACTCTAAAGGATAAATTGAACTTTTTCTGGAGCGTTAATGGGGATGCCCAGGAGGATAAATTGAGATTCTCTGGAACAGGAATGGAATTTTGTCTGGAGAATAAATGGAGGCTCTCTGGAGCATAAATGGAGATTTTCCTGGAGGATAAAAGGAGATACTTTAGAGGATAATTGGAGATGCTTTAGAGGAGAAATGGAAATTTTTCTGGGGGCAACTGGAGATTTTTCTGGAGAATGAATGGGAATGCTTTGGAGGGTAAATGGAAATTGTCTGTAAGATAAATGGAGATTTTTCTGGGGCACCAATGGAAGTTCTCTGGAACATAAGTGGAGCTGCTCTGGATGTTCCTCAGTTTATCAAGAAGTCCCCAGACAGGCTGGAAACCTGTTACTGTTTGCTCAGTGTCCTGACCTACCTAACTTTATGTATCTGCATCCTGTGGGAATTCCTGTGAGGAATTTTCCAGGGGATTAACACAGTGGAGCAACTCCAGCTTTTATTTATCTCCTGGTGATACTGTTTCTTACCTGTTACCTTGTTGTCTCACTGCTATACATATATTTTTATTGTCACAGTCCATTTTTAAGGTTCTTCTGCTTGTTTACCAGAATTCCAGGGATTCTCATTTTGATCCCTGTTGGAGCCCTTTGTTGTTTGTGCACATGCAGCTACTGAGAGTTTAAAGGAATCCTTCCTGGGAAAGATAATAAATTAAGAAAAAAAACCTTCCTCTTCCCCTGTCTAAAGAGAAAATTAAGATGTAATTGGAAAGACTTGAGGGAAAAGCAGGGTGGATTTATGTGGATAACAGGATTTTATTGTGGGAATATTTACTGTCTTTCCTATAAAAAACTCTTCCTTTACTGTGATAATTACCTCATGGAAAAAAATTATAAAAAATATATACAAATATAAATCTCTTCTTGTACTTTGGGAGCCACTGTTGGCCTTTATTTTTTAAAACAGTTGCACTGATTCCACTTGCACCAATTCCACTTGTACTAATTCCAGCTGCACTTATTCCAGTTCCTTATCAGGAGCTGTAATTGAATTGAAATGTGGTTTGAGTTTTGCGTCAGTTCTGGCAAAATTAAAGTGCTTTTGCAGTTAATCTGTTGGATGAATTATGTTTTCTGCAAATCTTGCACATTTTTTAAAAGTATTTGTTCGCTTATTGCCAGGCAAAAAAAGCTGGAAAGAAGTTACAAACAAATCCATAAAATATGGGGGAAAAAAATGTTGTTGTCATTTAAATTCTTGAAGTGAGTGTTTCGGAGACATAGAGATTCAGCAGCACTTTGGAAAACTAAAGTTTCCAAATGGGAACTAAACCCCCGAGTCTCATTTCTTTTTTTTCCTGAAGGAAAAAACGGTGGGAATTGATTAATTTGTGGCATTTTTTTTCATTGGAAAGACACTTCAGCCAGCAGTTTCCAGGGTGGTTTAATCCAGAACCAGATGAACTAAGGGATGATCTTGGAATGTATCTCTCCCATCTGGCTTTGTATCAGATCCCGGTGTCAGCGGAGCTCCCGCGGGAGCGCGGATCGGGATCTTATCGCAGATGGGAATCTTACAGAGGAGCAGGAGGAAATTAGCACGTGCTGTGCTCATTGATTTCTTTAAGCTCCACAGCCCTGGGGTCAGCACAGAAGCCAAGGATATCCTGCTGGAAAACATTAAGGGAGCAGATTAAGTGGGAGCTTTTGTGGGTTTGTGGGCTGAACCTCCGGATCTGCACTTCTTTGTGCGGCTTCCAAGTGTGCCGGAGGAGCCCTGGGGGTTGTGTCTCCACGTGGGGAATAGTTGGAAGGTGTTGAGTTGGGAGCATTGCAAAGATCCCTGCTGGCTGTGGGAATGACACAGTAGGAGTCTGAATACGAGGAGTCCTTTCCCAACAGGATTTAGACAACTCTATTTTGCCCCTTTCCCCTCAATTTCCAGCTTCTGGGAGATGGTTTAGTTGCCACGGTGGTGACCTGTCAAAGGTTGGACTCAGTGATCCTGGAGGTCTTTTCCAACCTCAGTGGTTCTGTGAATCCATGTTTCATCCTGTGCTTGGTTTGGCCTTTTCCTCCAGTTCCTTTTCCTAAATAGTTTCCCTATAGGAATATTGTTGTTTTCTCTGAGGAGACATCTGGGAACTTGCTGGCAGTGGGGGAGTGAGGAGGTTGTGGGTCAGCCAGGTAAGGAGGCTTGAAGATTCCATGGGTCTTCAGCCTTCCAGGGTCTGAAGGGGCCTGGTTTCTGCTGTAAATCCTTGTCACCTCTGCTGTGTGAGGAATGATTGATCCTTAATCCCGGCCAGACACGCTGCTCACGTTTTCGTGCTGCGGAATATTCATTCCAAAGGGTTTTCCTCGGGGATAAATCCAAGCCTGAGGCTGAAATAAGCCATATGTGTTTGCTGATGGTGGTTGTGCTGACAGGGATAACCTTGAGGTTTTCACCGCGTCTCGCAGGGAGGAATCAGGATGTGGAATTCCACCGGGCTTACTGATGTCATACTTGAATGGAAAAATGGGAAAGAGGGAGCCCATTCAAACATTTGTGTGTTTCTTCTGGCAGGATGGAGAAGAAGAAAATCCTGATGAAGTCCAAGGTCGCTGCTCCCAACCTCCTGAGGGCACTGCATTCCCTGTACCAGTTTGGGCACCTCTGTGACGTGACGGTTCTCACCCAGCACCTGGGAATTCAGGAGGAGTTCCTGGCTCACAAAGCTGTCCTGGCAGCTTCCAGCAACTATTTCAAGGGGCTTTTCCTGCACGAGGAGATGCTGGACACCAAGACTTGCACGGTGACCCTGCAGGACATCTACACGGAAGAGTTCACCTCCTTCCTGGAGTTCGTTTACACCGCGGAAGTGGAGATCGAAGCGGAAAAACTCCAGCGGATGAAGGAAATAGCCGAGAGGCTGGAATGCAAGGATCTGCTTGACATCTGTGAAGAAGTGAAAGCAGAGGGCAGGAAGGGCTTGGATTTGAGCCTCCACCTGAAAGGACAGAGGGGTGAAAGTGGTGGATCCCAGTGGCCTCACATCCAGCACGAGGAGAACCCTGACCTGAGGAGCTCTTCTCAGGTTGTGGCGATTCCTGTGCAGAGGAAACTTTGGGACAGGCAAAAACATAAGAAGTTGCTGGCGGGCCTTGAGATCATTGGAGGCCAAGGAGTGGGTCTGGAGCAAGAGGACGCTGGTTTTCCAGACCCAAAACCCAGGACAGCAAAGCTGCCAAAATGTAACAATCCAGATTCCACAAACGCACTCGGTGTGGATATCGTTAGTCTGGAAAACGAGGATAGTCGCTCCCTCCTAAGTCAGGCTGAGGCACAGGGAGCCTGCGTTGTGATTAGGAACACTCTGCCTGAGCGGTGGGAAGACGGAAAGAGTCTAATTTCCCAGTTTTCCACCAAAACAGAACATAGGAAGTTGCCACGGCACGCGGCGAAAATCCCAACGCCGGTGGCCTGCGGGAAGCGCGACGAATCCTTCCGCGTCCTGGAGCAGTACCGGGAGCACGTGGAGCTCCGGCACGACGCCGGCCTGGCCCTCAGGTCCCGCTGCGAGAGGTGCGGGCAGCGATTCCCGGCTCCGCGGAACCTCCGGCGGCACCGCCCGTGCGGCTCCTCCGGCCACGCCAGGGTCCCGCGCCGCAGGGACGCGGCCGAGCGGATCCGCAGGGTGCCCCTGGGGAAGCGGGAATGCCGGGCCTGCCCCTACTGCGACAAGGTGGTCGGCTCCAAGTGCGGCCTGTCCGTCCACATCCGGACACACACCGGGGACAGGCCCTACAAGTGCGAGCGCTGCCCCGCCAGCTTCGCCCACAGGTCTGCCTACACCACCCACGTCAGGTACAGCACCCTCGGGAATGTGCCTCCTCTCCAGCTACAGGCATAAAGGCATTCCCAAAGTCCTCTCTGCTCTAGGTCCAGAATTCCTTGGATCTGATGCGGAGTGTGTTGAAATCGGGACAGATTTTTTTTTTTTAGTTGGCTTCACTGAGCTTGCGGTGCAGATGACTGAGTTGAGGTCTCCCGGACGGGGAATTCAGGGAATTTCCCTTTGAATTGAAGGGGATTAGTGCAACCAGATCCAGGAAACCTCAGATCTGGGTTTTTAGTAAGAATTTTTTGTCTCCATGTTGGCATTTAATCTTTATTTCCCTTGGTTTAAGTCCATAATTTCTTATCCCATCCACCACGGCCTTGGAGGAAAATTTACCGTCCATCCTACATTCCCAGTCAGGTGACAAATATAGATCCTTGATGAACTGAGACATTTTAATTGCCTTTAATTACCTGGTCCAACTCTACCTAAAATTTCCCTATTTCTGGGCTTTCCAAATACACTGTGAATTTCTTAAATGGTGCAAAGAGCAATTCGAAGGAAGTGACTCTTCTCCCAAGGCCAACATGTCCGAATTGAAGCAATTAAACAATTAATTTTAATTGAGTTTATCATTTAAACACATTGAAGTTGTGCTCTGTTGTTTGTTTGTTTTAACAGGAAAATCCATGAGTCTGGGCAAGAGAGGAAACTCCTGCCTGTCTACTGGATGGTGGTTCCACCTGCACCTGGACCAAACACCACGAGCCGTGACAAAGATCCTGACAGAGAGCCTTGGGATGTAACATCAGAGGCCACGAGGAGTGAGGAAGAACCCGGGGGTTCATCCACTGCTGAAGCAGACTGGAGCGAGGAGCAGGAGGAGCAGAATGGGAAACACCAGGAAGCTGAAGCAAGGAGTGAAGAAGGGAATGAAGATGAAGGTGAGATGAGTGTGAAGGGCGAGGAGGAGGAGGGAGATTACGAGGCGGGATGCTCGGAAGTCGAAGGAGGTACAGCCAAAGAGGTGTGTTCCGAGGAGGATGGCGGAGACTCAAACGAGAAGGACGGCGAAGAACACAAATCAGACGAAGAGTCTAAACCACAGAAGGTCAGCAAAAGCGGGGCCGACAAGAGCCCCCCCTACGTGATCCGGTGCGAGAAGTGCCAGGAGCAGTTCGTGTCCCGGAAGCGGTACGTGGATCACTGCCGGGACGTGCACCAGTGCCTGCCCGGCAAGGTGTACCAGTGCGACGTGTGCAGCAAGGCCTTCGCCAGCTACACCAGCTGGAAGGAGCACCGGGCGTGCGTCCACACGGAGGAGAGGCGCTTCTCCTGCCCCCTCTGCAACGCCACCTTCAAGCGGCAGCGGGACGTGCGCACCCACTCCGTGCGGAAGCACGAGGGCCGCGTGAAGCGGCCGCTCTGCTCCGTGTGCGGGAAGATCCTCAGCTCCCGCACGGCGCTGGTGTTCCACATGCGGACGCACACCGGGGAGAAGCCCTACGAGTGCGGCGTCTGTCACTCCAGGTTTGCACAGCCGTCCCAGCTGAAGATCCACACCAGGTCAGCCTCCGGCCTCCCGTTCCCCCTCCCTGCACCCACAGCACCTTTTTCCTCTCCTGACTTCCCGGCTGTGAGTCCTTCTCCTTAGAGCAGGAACACCGGGATATCGTTTGGATTTTAGGCTCTGTGATTAATCCTTTTACGCAAAGGCTTTGGCTCCGGGTGGTTGTTGCGTTGCCCATGGTCGGGATTTCAACACAGATGCCCCGTCCAAACTCCCAGTCATCTGGGACAGGCTCTGAAATCCAACAGGATTCACTGATGACGAGTAGCATAGGCTGAAGAGTGAGTCAGGGACCTCAGAGACAATCTTGGAGCAAGGAATTAGTGTGGGATTTCTTTATGCAGCACAGAATCCGTGCTGCCCCTGAGGGCTCCTGCTGCACTCACTGAGTTTGACGGGATGAGTTGCTCTCTGGTGGTGTCTGTGTCAGCTGTGTCCTCTCCCAGGAGGGGGTGAATCATCCCATGGAAAATTTCCCATCTTTGTCTGAAAAGAGAGCAGAGCAGATAAGTTACAAGCCTCTTGCTTGACAACTTGAAATTAGGAATGATTTTGCTTGGAATTCCTGTTTGGGTTGGAATAAGGGAAGTCAGCGCAGTGTAAAGACCAAATCTCATGTCCTAAAAATGGGGATATCATGCCAGGTAAGGTCTGCAGGACACGAGGGACTGGGAAGGCCCACGGGATCAGGACCTGATTTATTAATAATCCTTTGTGCTTTGCCTCCTTCAGGTCCCACACGGGGGAGAAGCCGTATATTTGTGAGGACTGCGGGGCTTCCTTTGCCGACAAAGGAAAACTCACCGGCCACAAAAGGACACACACAGGTGGGCATTAAATACTCCATGTGGTTTCTCCCGTGGTTTTCCCTTTTCACTGCTTGGGATTGCTGGTTGGGATGTGAAGAAAATGCCCTTTTTTTCTTGTACCTCACAGAAGAGATTCCAAGTACCAAGATGGAATTAGTAGGGATAGAAGCTCTTTTAGCCTGGAGAAAAGGAGGCTCGGGGGGGACCTGCTCGCTCTCCACAACTCCCTGACAGGAGGGGGGGATTGGGCTCTGCTCCCAGGGAACAAGGGACAGGAGGAGAGGAAATGGCCTCAAGCTGTGCCAGGTTGGACAACAGAGGGAATTTCTTCATGGAAAGGGTGATCAGCCATTGGAACAGGATGGAGTCCCCATCCCTGGAGATGTCCAAGGAGCGATTGGACGTGGCACTCCATCCTCTGGGCTGGGCGACAAGGTGGGGATGGGGCACAGGGTGGGTGGACTCGATGACCCTGGAGGGCTTTTCCAGCCTCAGTGATTCTGTGCTTCGAAGACCAACTTCAGAGTACAAAACCCCCGTGCGAGAATCCCGCGTGTCCCGTCTCTCTTCCCTCAGGAGAGCGCCTGTTCAAGTGCGACGTGTGCGGGAAGCACTTTGCCACCAAGGAGTACCTGAAGTGCCACAAGCGCTGCCACATGGGCGCCAAGCCCTACAAGTGTGAGGTGTGTGGGAAAACCTTCGGCCTCAGGGCCTCCCTGGCCCAGCACAGCAACGTCCACGCAGGTAATGGAACCGCCTCCTGGCGCCGGGAAAACAAAACCGTGGCTCCTGGGGTGCTTCCCAGTTTTTGGATGGGGGCGTTTCATTCCACAGCTCCCTGAATTAGGTGATCACAGAAGTTGGAAAAGACCTCCAGGATCATCGAGTCAAACCTGTGAGTGATCACCACCTTGTCACTAGAGCAGAGCACTGAGTGCCACGTCCAGGCCTTCCCTGAACACCTCCGTGGTGCTGGAAGCAGGGCTCATCCTGATCCTGGCTCGTTAAACAGAACACAGGAAAATCTTGTGTCATATCAGTGGTGCTTTCCCAGAAAACTGAGGCCTGGCTTGTGCCAGGAGTAGAGAACGGCTGTAGTTCTCCTTGCAGGATCAGAGAGATGATTTCAGGGCTTCTTGGCAGTGGAGAAATATTTATCATGGAAGCATAAAATCCCAGACTGGGTTGGGCTGCAAGGGACCTTAAAGATGGGACACCTTCCATATCCCAGGTTGCTCCAAGCCCCATCCAACCTGGCCTGGAGCACTTTCAGGGATGGGGCAGCCACACCTCCTTTATCCATACTTTAAAATCCTTCATCCTTTTTTTTTCTTTTCTTTTGTGGGGGCCAAAGAACCCCCTCTCCTAACGCCGTGTCTCCCGGGATTGGTTGTTCCCAGAGACCCGCCCGTATTTCTGCGAGCAGTGCGGGAAGACCTTCACTCAGCAGGGCGCCCTGCGGCGGCACCAGCGCATCCACACCGGAGAGAAACCCTACAAGTGCCGGGCCTGCGAGAGGACCTTCACCGACATGTCCACGCTGCGCAGACACGTGGCGGTACGGCATCCCTCGGGATCTTCCCGGCCCTCAGGGTCACCTCGGGAGGGGGATATAAGCTCCGGCCGGGCGGAGGGTTCTGAGTTTTCAGCGTGTGGAATTTTCCTCCGACGGCGGCACAGCAGCTCCCACTGCTGGCTGCAAAATCCAGGCGTCTCCCAGCCTTAGGAAAAAAACCACCATCCCTGGAGGTGTTCAGGGAATGACCGGACATGGCATTTGGTCGTCGGTCAAAGGTTGGACTGGGTGATCTCAGAGGTCCTTTCCAGCCTAAAACATTTGAGGCAGGACTCGGGATTTTAGGTGCTTGTTATGGATTTAACTACAGAGTCCCCAGTCCTTTAGTCCTCACCTTTAATCCTCGTAACATGATGGTTTATACGACCCCGGGAATATGGTTTTACATATTTGAAATTATTTTAGTTAAAAATCGGGTATAATTGTTCTCCTGTCCTCTTCTCTTTTGATTTTTTTTTTTTCCCCCAGATTCACGACCGGAATGCTCACTGGAGAAGTTTCCTAATCGATCTCACCACCAAAAAGGACCATAACTGGTCCAAAATAGAGACCTTTGGGGAAGCCCATGCAGGAGGAGGCTCCACCCCGGAGATTTGGTCAATGGACCAAGGGAAACTTTATAAACCAGAAGGTGCCAAAACAGCAGCACAGGTGGCACCTGGTGCTGGGGACACCGGGGACACCGACCGCTCTCTCTTGTACTTGTAAGGTCAGTTTTGGCCCCAAAAATGTGCAGAATGGGGAAAATTATCCCTCAGAACTGGGGGAGTTATCCCCAGTGCTGCAGCTGGATTCCAGGTGGAGAAGGGGGTGTAATCCCTGCTGAGGGTATTTATTCCAGTGAAACGTTTAGATCTGTCCCGAGTTTTATTTTCCAAACCCGTGGATGCACCCCAGAGCATCCCATTGGGACCGGGGGGGGGGGGGGCGCGAGGAGAGTGTGTGTGCGTGTTTATACAGGCGCAGCGCGGTGCCGCCGCTGCAAATCACCAGTTTCTCTTTTAATAAAGCCGTCAGTGCCGCCCAGCCGCGTAAAACTCGTTTTCTTTCGCGCGGGCGAAACGCCCGAATTTGGGAACCAGAAGGCCCGGGGAAGAGCGGCCGCGCGTTGCCTAGCGACGGGCGGCGCGCCCGTGACGTCACTTCCCGCGCGCCGCGGCCGCGCTCAGGGCGGGCGGGGCCGTGGCGCGTCAGCGCTTCCGGCCGCGCCCGGGGCCGAGCGGGAGCAGCGGCCGGGAACGCACCGGGAACACGCCGGGAACAGTGAGTGCGGGGCTGGCACGGCGGGAACCATGCGGGGCTGGCCCCGCCCGACTTCTTACCCCCTCCTGTTTCTCTACCCCCCCATTCCCCCCATTCCCCTCCACGCTCCCCCCATTTTCTTCTGTCCCCCCCCCATTTCCTCTCCAACCCCTCGCAAGTCCCCCCATTCTTCCCCCCAGCCCCCCCTCCTCTTCCCCTCCCTCATTTCCTCCCCTTCTTCCCCCGCCTCCGTTGGGATGTGCTCCCAGCTTCCCCGATGATCCAGGATCCTTCCCAAAAGGGATTGGAAGCAGGAGCTGAGGGGGATCTCCCTGAGGAGCAGCTCCACAACTCCATCACCTGCCCCAGGCTGGGGCAGCTCCCTGGGAATCCTCTCCCCATTCCCCTTCAGGGGTTGGTGGCTGGAGCTTTTTGTCTCTTTCCAGCTGGTTTTGCCTCTGGAAAAGGGACATATTCCCACAAATGGACAGTGCTCAAGTGGGAATTAGGGGCATAGTTGTGAAATACACGATGATTAGTTAAAACTCATTTTATTGGGGTAAAAAAGTGACATTTTGGTGCCATTAGTTGTTTAGGCATTTGGTGGGTCGTCCTTAAATTCCTGGGAAGGGGAAAGAAATTCCTCAGATTCCAGCAGGAACTAAAGGGTTAAACTCAGCAGGTCGCTCAGAGCCTCTTCAAATCCAGAGAAACGTGGTTTGTTCTGGGGTCAGACATTTGGGAGAAAAAAAAACCCCAAAAACACCAGTTCTTTTGCAAACTTGGGAGCAGCTTCAAACATTCCCGGGAAACACGGTGTAACCTGAACAGTGCTGGAATGGGGACGCCCTGGGAAGGCTGGAAACAGGCCTTCAAAATATGGGGGCTGGGAGCCCAGTTTGAGGGAGGAATTCTTAAGACAGCGAGCATTGTGAGGAAGTTTTATTGGGTTTGGGTTTTCAGTGTGTGAATGTGATTATCCATCGTGCCTGGGTTGGTGAAGCACTTGGAATTTTATCTGGGAATGCTGTTAAGGCAGTGGTTTTTTGGGATCACAGTTAATTTTGCTTAACTTTGCTTCATTTTACCTTTCTTTTATTGCCTGCTGAGGAGAGGAACTGTTCCTTAATTCCACGTGCCTTAACCAGAACATTCCCTTGATCCACCTCTGTTGCTCCGTCCCTGTTCCAGGTTCTAATAGTCCAGAGGGTCTCAGGTAAAATTACAGGTGGGATTTAAGCTAAAATTCACTGCATGGTCTGGTGGAGATCAGTCCAAGTCTGGACTCACTCCCGGAGCTCTTTCCCAACCTCACTGGAACACCCAAAACCCCGGAAGTGGCTTTCGTCCATTGGAAACCCCCGGGAGTTCCGTTGGCTAACGCAGGGTATCCTCAACAGCTTCTTGCAGGGGGAAGAAAGATGGAAAGCGCTCCGGTCCTGCTGGAATCCAAGTCCTCTCCCATCAACCTGCTGAACGAGATGCACCAGCTGCGCCTGCTGGGCCACCTGTGCGACGTGACGGTGAGCGTGGAGTACCAGGGCGTCCGCGCGGAGTTCGTGGCCCACAAGGCCGTGCTGGCGGCCACCAGCAAGTTCTTCAAGGAGGTCTTCCTCAACGAGAAGGCCGTGGACGGCCCCCGGAGCAACGTGTTCCTCAACGAGGTGCAGGTGGCGGATTTCGCCTCCTTCCTGGAGTTCGTCTACACGGCCAAGGTGGAGGTGGAGGAGGACAGGGTGCAGCGCATGCTGGAGATAGCCGAGAAGCTCAAGTGCCTGGACCTCTCGGAGACCTGCTTCCAGCTGAAGAAGCAGATGCTGGAGTCGGTGCTGCTGGAGCTGCAGAACTTCTCGGAGTCGCAGAACTCCGAGGAGGAAGGCGCTGCCCACCCCAGCATCCCGCCCGAGTCCAAAGCCGTGGCAGAAGCCGAGCAGGAAACTCCGGGTTCCCCCGTAGCCAGGCCCAGCCACGGAGCGTCCCCGGAGGCGCCGGCTGCCAAATCCAAGGAGAAGACGGACAAAAAGAAGGAAATGCTGAAGGCTCCTTACGCCAAAATCCGGAGGGCGAGCGGGAGGCTGGCCGGGAGGAAGGTGTTCGTGGAAATCCCCAAGAAGAAGTACACCAGGAGGCTGAGGGAGCAGCAGAAGAACGCGGAGGTGGCCGCCGAAGACGACAAATACCCCGAAGAAGAGGAGCTGTGCGACCCGGAGGGGGAGGAGGAGCGCGGGGAGGACGCCGCCGTCAAGCCGGAGGGCGCGGGGCGCGACGGCAGCCCCGAGGAGAACCGCCCGAAGGCCGGCGAGGACAAAAAGAAGCGGGGCAGCAACTTCAAGTGCGGCACGTGCGAGAAGGAGTTCCTGTACGAGAAGAGCTTCCTGAAGCACATCCAGCACAGCCACGGCATCGCGGCCGAGCTGGTGTTCCGGTGCGAGACGTGCGGCCAGACCTTCGCCAACCGCTGCAACCTGCGGAGCCACCAGCGGCACGTCCACAGCAGCGAGCGCCGCTTCCCCTGTGAGCTCTGCGGTAAGAAGTTCAAGAGGAAGAAGGACGTCAAGAGGCACATTCTCCAGGTTCATGAGGGTGGTGGGGAGCGCCATCAGTGCCAGCAGTGTGGAAAGGGGTTGAGCTCCAGAACCGCCCTGAGGCTCCATGAAAGGACGCACACGGGCCACAAGCCTTATGGGTGCCCGGAGTGTGAGGCTAAGTTTTCTCAGCCTTCGGCACTAAAAACCCACATGAGGTATGAACAGCCTTCCCTGGCCTCGGGAGATCCTGGGGGGACGAGCACACACCCCCCGGAGCCTGTCCCCTGTTTCCCTTTTTCCCCCCTGCTTTGCCTCACTAGAAGGTCACAGGTCGAGTGCTGCTGCTGCTCCTGGAGCGCTTCTCCCAGGGGATGAATCAGGGCTGGGATTACTCCAGCTCACTATAGCCAAGACAATAAGAAGCATGGAAATATTTGGGAAAGGCTTGGCCAGGGTTTTAAATGGGAAAACGCCAGATTTGGAGGCTAAGGAGGGAAAAAACTGAGCTGGGAGTAGAAACGAGTGACAGCTCGTGGGGCAAAAATCCTCTCCGAGGGGTTTAACCTGATTTTCTCTCTGAGGGGCTTTAGCCTGATTTTATCAGTTATTTTTATCTGTCCCAGGGTGATTTTATCAGGGTAAAAGTCATCTCTGAAGGGTTAAATCTCACTGTATCAGTTATTTTCTCTCTCGGGGAAGAGATGTTTTTGTCAGGGCAAAAATTGTCTCTGAGGGGTCGAGCCTGATTTTTATAATTTATTTTATCTGCCTCAGGGCATTTTCGTGAGGGCAAAAATAATCTCTGAGGGATTTAACCTGATTTTATCCCTTATTTTATCTGTCTTAGGGAAGAGGCATTTTTAGCAGGTCGAAAATCAACTGTGGAGGCCTTGAGCCTGATTTTATCCCTTATTTTATCTGTTTCATTGCAGAGATGTTTTTATCAGGGCAAAAATCACCTCTGACGGGCTTTAGCCTGATTTTATCAGTTATTTTATGTCTCATGCCATTTTTATCAGGGCTAGAATCATCTGTGAAGGCCTTGAGCCTGATTTTACCCCTTGTCTGTTTGGTGGCAGAGACTTTTTTATGAGGGGAAAAAATCATCTCTGAGGGGTAGAACCTGATTTTGTCACTTATCTGCCTTGGGGCATTTTTATTAGGGCAAAAAAAACCTATCTGAGGGGTTTAGCTTGATTATATCAGTAATTTTATCTGTCTCAGGGCCTTGTTATCAGGGCAAAAAAATCATCTCTTGAGGGGTTGAGCCTGATTTTGTCAGGGAAGAGATATTTTTATCAGGCCAAAAATCATCTATGGAGGCCTTGAGCCTGATTTCATCCCTTTTTTTATCTGTTTCATGGTACAGACATTCTTGTCAGGGTAAAAATCATCTCTGAGGGCTAGAACCTGATTTTCTCTCTGATTTTGTGAGGGGGAAAAAATTCTCTCTGAGGGTGGGTTTGAACCTGATTTTATCAGTTATTTTATCTGTCTCAGGGCATTTTTATGAGGGGAAAAAAATCACAGAAATCTCTGAGGGGTAGAACCTGATTTTATCTGTCTCAGGGCACTTTTATGAGGGGAAAACAATAATCTCTGAGGGATTTAACCAGATTTTACCATTATTTCATTTCTGTTAGGGCAGAGACTTTTTTATCAGGGAAAAAATCACCTCTGAAAGATTGAACCGGATTTTATCGGTTATTTTATCTGTCTCAGGGCATTTTTATGATGGGGAAAAAAATCATCTCTGGGGGGGCTTTAACCTGATTTTATCAGTTCCCAGAGCTTTACCTGCCCAAGGAAATGAGCTGATCCACCTAAAGATTATTTTTGGGGCATAAGTGGAATTTCCTCTCTGCTGTGCCCCATTGCCAGGAGTCTTGCTGAACGCTGGAAACCCGGTGCTGTGTTAATTCCTTATCTTTTGGGATGTGTTTTGCCATCTGTCCTCTCCCTGTGGGGAAAACCGGCTACCCCAAAACCCTCGGAGCGCTTCCCCTCACATCCCAAAGGACGGGCACCACACCCTGGGGAGAAATTCCCTAAACTTTTCCTCTGTCTTACCTTAAAAAAACACCTCTAAAAAATCCGGGTTTACCCTAAAATTCCCAGACCTGGGCGTCGATCCAGCGACAAACCAGCCCCGAATGCCCCCCTCCGGCTCCGGTTGTTCCGTGGAGGGAAGAGCCTCGGCCTGGTGTTTGAACGTTCCTTTCTCCTTTCAGAATCCACACGGGGGAAAAGCCCTTTGTCTGTGATGAGTGTGGGGCCCGGTTCACTCAGAACCACATGCTCATCTATCACAGACGCTGCCACACAGGTGAGGAGCCGTCGGGCACCGCGGGATCCGGGGCGGAGGAGGCCTGGAAGCCAGGGGGAGCTAAAAAAAACCAGGCAAACCATTCCAGGAAAGCTGGAAACCATCTGCCTTCAGAAGATGCTTTTTTGTTGTTGTTTTTTAGTATTATATTGAACGGGGTGCCCTCGTCTGTAGATGTGGTTTTCCTGAGAAAGCTCAGAACACCCGATAACTTGGGATATTCTGTGATTTTTTTTAAGCTGAAGGAGGGTTTATTAAAATTGGGTACTGGGAAGAAATTCCTCCCTCTGAGGCACTGGAACAGTTTTCCCAGAGAAGCTATGGATTCCCCATTCCTAGAAGTGTTCCAGGCTAGGGAGCAACCTGGGCTAGGTGGAAGGTGTCCCTGCCCACGGCAGGATTTGGGACTGGGTGACCTTTAAAGGCCCCCTCAGACCCCGGAGGGAGGACACGCTCCATAAGATCCCTCAGTTTTGGCTGGGATGTTTTAAGAGCATTCCCAAAAGCCCTGTTGGTTTAATTCTCCTTTTCCCCCATCTTTTAGGGGAAAGGCCTTTCATGTGTGAAACGTGTGGGAAGAGCTTTGCCTCCAAGGAATACTTGAAGCACCACAACCGGATCCACACGGGATCCAAACCCTTCAAGTGCGAGGTTTGCTTCCGGACCTTCGCCCAGAGGAACTCCCTGTACCAGCACATCAAAGTCCACACAGGTAGGACGTGCTCCTTTTTATTTGACACTCACCATTGCAATATTCCAGCAGGGAATTTCCCCCCCAGGCTTTTTCCCCAAGGCTCGAATTCCCACCTTGCCTGCAACGGCTTGATTCTTGGTGCCACTGCTTCTTCCTGAGGGATGGCAGTTGATGCCAAAACTGGCAGAAATGAGACTGCTCAGAGACAGTTTTGAGTCTTTAAGCAGCAAAGGTATTTATTTTGAGCAACGCTGGGGAACCAGCTCCCAAACCAGCTCCCAAGTTCTCAGGGAAAAGCCAGGTAATTGATACAGTTTTTATGAGTGATTACAACATCTATACCTGCATATTCATTTAATTTCATAATCTAATTATCATATTTGTAATAGGCAGAGCTTGAGATGGAGCTGTCCTTTTAGGGAGTCCTGGTGGTCTTTCCGGTCCTTCAGCCTCAAGAGGGTCCTCTTTGTCATGAACTTTTCCTGACTATGTACTGGGAGCTTGCAAAAACCCCCCTGATTCAGCTGTTTATCTCCCCAGATGTCCATTCTATCTAATTCATGACTACTAAGTTGTCCTTTCTGTTCTCTTTTCATTAGTACAGAACATAGGTAGGCAGAGCTCTGGAACAGGGTGCCCCTTGTCCCTTTAACATTAATGTTGCATTCCTCAGAGAGAGGGGCTGGAACATCCCCTCAGAACAGCATTCCAGCAGCTCAGAACTCTTGCTCGGTTTCACAATTCCCTGGCACACTCCCGAGGGCCGTGGAGGTGCTGTTAATAACCAGCCAGGATAATCAGTGTCCTGGTTTAGCTCCGAGCTCCTGCGCTGACTGGGGAAAGGGGAAAACGGGATTTGTCCCCGAAAGGAGAGTTTTTGGTGCATCTGGAGAGATCCCCGTGGTCGCTGGGGATTCCCAGGGCTCAGTGTCCCGCCGTGCCACCCTCTAACCCCCTCTGTGCCCCAGGGGAGCGGCCGTACTGCTGCGACCAGTGCGGGAAGCAGTTCACGCAGCTGAACGCGCTGCAGCGGCACCACCGCATCCACACCGGGGAGAAGCCCTTCATGTGCAACGCCTGCGGCAGGACCTTCACCGACAAGTCCACGCTGCGCCGGCACACCTCGGTACGGCCTCCCGGGCTGCCAGGGGCGGGGGAACGGGATGGGATGGGATATCACGGAATCAGCTGGGCGGGAAGGGACCTCCGAGAGCACCGAGTCCAACCCCGCTGTGGTTCCCAGCCCATGGCACTGATGCCACATCCAGTCTCTTCTTAAAAACCTCCAGGGATGGAGAATCCACCACTTCCCTGGGCAGCCCATTCCAATGCCTGATTACCCTCTCTGCAAAGAAATTCTTTCTAATCTCCACCCTACCCCTCCCCTGGCACAGCTGCAGACCCAGCCCTCTTGTCTTGCTGATGGTTGCCTGGGAGAAGAGACCAACCCCCACCTGGCTCCCCCCTCCTGTCAGGGAGTTGGAGAGAGTGAGGAGGTCTCCCCTGAGCCTCCTCTTCTCCAGGCTGAGCCCCCCCAGCTCTCTCAGCCTCTCCTCATAGGACTTGTGCTCCAGTCCCTTCAGCAGCCTAGTTGCTCTCCTCTGGGCCTGCTCCATATATCAGGAAGGAATCCTTCCTTGTGAGGGTGGGGAGGCCCTGGTGCAGAGAAGGTTGCACAGAGAAGGTTGCACAGAGAAGGTTGCACAGAGAAGCTGTGGCTGCCACATCCCTGGAAGTGTCCAAGTCCAGGTTGGAGCAGCCTGGCCTAGTGGAAGGTGTCCCTGCCATCATCTTTATCCCTGGATCTTTTTTAATGTCCCTTCCAGCCCAAACCGTTCCGTGGTTCCAAAAATAGAATTGTCTGCCAGCGTCAAGTACAAGCTGGATCCAGACTTTTCCCTTGTCGTCTTGTGTCCAGCCTTCTCTTTTCCTGGTTCCTCATTTCCAGATCCACGATAAAAACACCCCCTGGAAGTCCTTCCTTGTCATCGTGGAAGGAGCATCGTCGAAGAACGACGACGGCCACAAGACGGAGCTTCCCGACGAGGAGTACGCTGTGTCCCCCAAGATCCCGGAGAAGCTGCTGTCCTTCCCTGGGAACAGCCCCTACCAGAGCCTGGCAGCTGCCCCGGGCAGCGGGAGCGCCGGCACGGACTGTAAGTCTTCCGGAGGGCCGGGATCGCAGGAAGCCCTGATGGGAACCACCCTGAGCGAGCTCGCGGTGCTCCACGCGCAGCCGGACTCTGTCCAGCCACAGCTCCACGCTCTGGTGAACATGGAATAACTCGGGATTCGCTGCCACTCCCTGAGCTGCACCCCTCGTATAAGCCCTTTGCCTGAGGGAAGCTGGTGGTGGGAAGCAGGTGGGAGTGGATTTTCCTGATTCCTCTGAAAATTCGTTCCACAGCTCCATCTCCTGGAGGTTCGGCAGGGCGACACTTCAGTCGCTCCTCCGGGAGTCCCTGGGAGTCGATTCCCTGGGAGTAGAAGGGGTGGCTCGGGGACCGTGTTCAGGTGGGTTTATAAAGGTGGTGCAGGTTTGTTTTCCAGGTGCTTTGATGCCACGTGGACAATCAGGAGAACCGAGGTCGTGTTTCTCCGTGACAGCCACTGCATTTTCCCCAGCAGAAATTCATCCAGGAGATAAGCCAGGCCAAACTGCTTTCCAGGAAACCTTGGTTTCTCTCTGCTGTTGCCAAAGATCCCAGCAGTGAGCCAGCTCACTCCTTGGGAATACGAGTGGGAGCTTTGGAGTCTCTTTCCAGGAGTTTTGAGTCTCTTAAGTAGCAAAAGGAGCAGGTGGGAGCCAAGTGCTGGTTTGTTTTTTCCACGTTTCCATGAAAACTGGAGCAGTCTGGCACTTCAGTCTTCACCTTCCAGCTGCTCCAGCTCACATGGAAGTGGGCACTTAGAGACCAAAACATCTCTTGGAAAAATGTCTGGGAAAAGCAGCCATTCTGGAAAAGGTTCAGTTCAGAGGCTTTTCCTGACCAGCACCTGCTGCTCCGTTTGATTGGAATAGGATTCGGGGTATTTTCCCTGGCTGGGGAAGGAGCCTTTGAGAGTTGTCATCTGACTGGGATGGCTCTTTTTTGGGAACAGCAGCTCGCTGCTGTGGTTTAATGCTTCAAAAACTCGGGATCAGCTTCCCAGTTGCCACCGTGTAAAAACCTGCATCTTTTCCAGACGATTTTCCTGTTTCTTTTCGCCTGTCACCGTAGTATTCCCACAGAAACTTTCTCAGCTGGAGCTGTGAGCAAAACTTTGGGAAAGGTAAGCACAATCCAGCCTGGTGTTGAGGGCCTGTTGTCCAGCAATAAACACACCCCCCCACACCTGTGGCACAGAGCTATTTTTGATCCTAAAGGGAGGTGTTGCCATGGAATTCTAATGTAGAAAAAAAAAAAAGGGAATTTTTTTTTAAAAGAGAGCATTTCCAAGAGGTTATATTTGAAATATTTATTCCTGGTGAAGCTCAGTTGTCCCCGGAGACCGATGGGGAAGAGGCTGTAGATATATTTAAATCCTGAGCGTCTGGAACTGGAGCCAGGGAAAGTTTTGTACTCCGGGAATGTATGGAAGTGAGTTACTGTTTAACTGTTCTTATTAAAATATGGGAATATTGAGACCCTTCTGGTGACTGGATGGTCTGATGGGGGGGGGGACACTTTGGGACAGGGAAATATTCAGCCTGGAGAAGAGAAGGTTCCATGGAAACCTCAGAGCAGCTTTCCAGGATCTGAAGGTGCCTACAAGGAAGCGGGAGAGGGGCTGGACTAACAGGACAAGAGGGAATGGCTTCAAACTGAAAAAGGGGACATTTTGGTTGGGTATCGGGAAGAAATTCTTCCCTGGGAGGGTGGTGAGGCCCTGGAACAGTTTCTCCAGGGAAGCTGTGCCTGCCCCTGGATCCCTGGAAATGTTGAAGGTCAGGTTGGACAGGGATGGTGAAAAGGGGGTGGAACTGGATGGGCTTTAAGGTCCCTTCCACCCCAAACCATCCAGTGATTCCAAACAGGGATTGAAGGAAACACTGCACCTGCTCCCCTCCATCATCACACCAGGCTCCAGCCTCTTGCCTGTCCCAGAAAAACCACTTCTCCTTCTCCTTACATCCATGATTTTCACTTTATTCATGACAGAGTCACACAAAACATGATATTCCTGCTAAGGCCATTTCATTAATAAGTTTTCCGAGTAGAGAGTGATGGAAGTGGGGGGGTTAGGGGGGGAAATACAGCGGAGTAGGTGGCGGATTGTCACCTGGAAAACGGTCAGTTCACCATGGATACACCAGAGGACATGCTGAGCCTACTCACACACAACTAACGGGTGTAGGGGCTGTGGGAACAGACCCCTCTGCTCCACCCACGTCCTACAGCCCCTGTGCTTAATACTGACAAGGGGGAGAGGGAACAGGACAAGGCCTAAAAAAAAAAACACTGGGAAAAAGTGGAGCCTCCCAGCCCCTAATCCTGGACACAACAAAGCCACTGCTAAGGGTGGGAGTGAATTAACTACACTGAGCTGGGAGATCACCTCCTAAACCTGGGCTTTCCCCTCCACTTGGGATTGCACAACAGCCTGCAGGAAGGAAGGGAGCGGGAAGGGCAGGAACAATAATAATAATAACAATAATAACAATAATAATTTGGCATGGATCAGGTTTTTTTTTGGTTTTCAGAAGCTCGGGGCACAGACCAAGTGCCACTTTCTAGAGTGACACCCAGCGAGCCAAGCCCTGCTCTGCCCCAGTACCGAAATTCCAACCAAAGTGCAAACCCCCCCCAAAATTCTCCCTTTTTCCAGAGAAACGTGGGGCTGGGACTACCTGGACTCACCAAAGCAGCCCTTAATGAATGACTTCCTCACTCCTGGAACAGAAAACCGAGTGACAAATTGCACAGACTCCCATATATCCACGGAAAGAAAAGAGGCAGCTCGATCCTCTCTCACTCCCCACGTGGTTTAAAACACACCTATAAATTCCAGCAGGAATTTTTCAACGTGTCTCCCCTTTTTCCAAGCAGACTGCGCTCACCTGGCACCCACATTCCAACAAGGCTCCCGTGGGATGTCAGGTCTCAGCCAACACCTCTGGGGGGGGCCGGAACTAACGGATTGTTCCCGGCTCACACGGAGAGAAAGGTAGAAAAATAGATTATCACTCATGTGGAAGTTATCCTGGGGATGGAGGGATGGGACACACCACAAAATAAAAGTGGGAAAATCCATCCAAGAAGAACCTTAGGCTGGACACTGAGATACAAACCAGCCCTGACCTGGGGCTCCGTGGGGGCCAACACCGATCCCGGCGCTCCTGTTCCCAAGCCTGGAATGCCTCCGGCACTAGGGCAGCGCGTTGGGGGTGCGTGGGAGTTCCCAAATCCCAAAGCCTCTCACTAGCACCGGGAAAAAAAAAACGCTTAAAGAACCCCAAATCCAAGTGTATCCAACAGGGGGCCACCGAGAACCGGAAAATGGGAACAACACAACGGGGTGGGAAGCGGTTACTTTGTGCTGCGCTGGCCTGGACCACAGATGTACATGCTGGAATCAGGAGAACAGCAGGAAAACCGGGAGCGGCGGGTGCAGGCGCCGGGTGGAGCAGCACCAGAGCCGAGGAGGAAGCGGATCCCGCCTCGGAGCCGCCGGAGCCGCCCGGCCCGGGAGCTAAAGGGACACGCGGGGCGCTGGGAGTGGGAAGCGACGGGATAAAAGCGAGGGGGGGGAGTGGGCCAGGTATCCCAGAATAGTCCTCGGCCGGGCGGGAAGAGCCCGCGGGCGTCACTTGAGGTCGCCGTCCCCTTCCCCCTGGATGGTTTTCTTGATGCGCAGCAGCATCGTGGTGAGCCACTGGTCCAGCCGAGAGATGGAGTCGAACTCCTTCACCTGGAGCGGAGGAAAACCGGGATCAGGGAGCGAGGCAAGGGAGAGAGGCTGGAACGGAGGGAGCGCGGAGTGGAACACCTCGGGCGTTCCGGGAAATAAGGAGAAGGGAAAAAGGGGAAAGAAAAGGGGGGGGGAAAGGAGGGGGAACAGGGGGAACAAGGCAAGGAAAATAAGGGGGGAAAAATAAGGGGGGCAAAAAGGGTGGGGGAAAAAAGGGAAGGGGGGAAATAAGGGGAGGGAAAATAAAGGGGTGAGAAAAATAAGGGGGGGAAAAAGGGAAGGGGGAAATAAGGGGAGGGAAAATAAAGAGTAGGGGAAAACAGAGGGAAATAAGGGGGGGATAAAAGGGGAAAGTAAGGGGGGAAAAGGGAGGGGAGGAAAAAGGGGGAAGGTGCGGAAAAGGGGGAAAGGGGAAAAAAGAGAGCAGCAAAAAAAGGGCTGGAGAAAGAAGGGGGGAAGTAAGGGGGTGAAATAAAAGGGGGGAAAGGGTGGGGAAAAGAGAGGAAAGGAGGAGAATAAAGGGAGGGATGAGGGGGTGAGAAAGGTGGGGAAAAGGGGGAATAAAGGGGAGAAAAAAGTGGGTGGGAAAAGGGGGGAAGGGAAAGAATGAGAAGGGGGGGAAGAGTGGGGGAAAAGAGGGAGAAAAAAGAGGGAGATAAAAGGGGGGAAGGGAAGGGGGAAAAGGAGGGGGAATAAGGAGGTGAAATAAAGGGGAGGGAAAGGGTGGGAAAAAAGGGGGGGAAGGGGAAAATATGGGGGTGAAAAAAAAGATGGAAAAAAGGGTGGAAAAAAAGGAGGGGAAAAAAGAGTGGGGAAAAAAGGGAGGGGAAAGGGCAGGGAAAAAATGGTGGGAAAATGGGAAAAGGAGGGGAATAAAGAGGAGAGAGAGATGGGAGAAAATAAGGGGGGGGGGGAATGGTGGAAAAACCAGGGATGGATGGGAAGGAAAAAAGGGGGAAAGGGTAAGAAAAAGGGTGGAAAAGGGGTGGGAAAAAAGGGGTGAAATAAGGAGAGAAAATAAGGGGGTGAAATAAAGGGGGAGAAAAAGGGGGGGAAAGGAAGGGAAAAAGTGGGGGGGGAGGAAGGGGGAAAGTGGGAAGAAAAAAGGGAAAAGGGGGAAGGGGAAAAAACGGGAGGAAAAATGGTGGAAAAAAGGGGGGGGAAGGGGAAAAAAGAGGAAAGGCAGAAAAGGGGAAATAAAAAGGAGAAGGGGGAAAAAAAAGGACAGGAGGGGAAAAAAAGGGAAAAGGTACAGGGCAAAGTCTCTCCAAGCCCACCCAGAGCACTTTAAGCCCCTGTCAAACACCAAAGGAGCTGGAGCAAACCCAGGTGGGATCTTTACTTAACTCTCCATGAAAAACTGGGAATTGTGAAGTAGGAGGCTGGGGCCTTGCTGGAGCAGCTCCGCTCCCGGCCCCTCTCCACAGCTTCCCTGGCCTGGAACAGGGCTCACACATCCCAAAAGAGAGAGGAGGAAGGAGCCACCATTCCCAAGGGAATCCATGCCCACTTACTGCCTCGGTGTAGGCCTCGCTGTTCTGCTCCTCGTGGGCTTCCAGCAGTTTCTAGGAAAACACCAGGAAAAATGAGGAAAGGCTGTGCCAGTGCGTGTTCCCACTCCGGCACCTCATCCCACATGTCCCGTGGAAAACACCCAGGTCAGGGCCAAACCCAGGGCACAGCGAGGCTGATGTCCTCTAAAATGTTGGGAAAAGTGAGAAAAATCATGGAAAAGTGCAAAAGCACCCTGGTGTACTCACTTTCAATAGCTTGCATTCCCGGGAATCTGTGAATGCCGGGAACATTTCTTCGTATTTCTCCAGCGCGAGCTGGAAGAGAGAAGAGAACCCTTCACACACAATTCCTGGGGATTTTTTTAAGGATTTGCCTTCCCATCCTCAAACTTGGGAAAGTTATCCACCAGAATTCCAGCGGGACACTGTGGTGTGTTGAGATTCCGCCCGTGTGACAGCCACCCAAATCCCTGAGGAGGAGGGGTCAGGGGGGTTGGGATGAGGGCTGTGAGCCCACTGAGCTCCTCCCAGCCAGCCCAGGGTCATGAGGGGGGGTCAGGAATTCTGGGATAACCCACCTTGGCATTCAGCTCGTCCACGATGAAGTGGCAAAGGGCGGCTTTGAAGAAATATTCCTTGGCGCTGTACTTGAGCAGGGGGTTATCCATCGTGTTTGTTCCCACCTGGACACAGAAAAAAACATGGAAAAAGGGTTGGGAAAGGAAAGCCTGGATTAAAAACAGGGCAGCCAATTAAAATTCCACCCAGAGCCACACGGCTGCGAAGGAAAACACGTGGAAAAAATGCCAGTGGCTGTTGGGAATCGGGGAGGCTTTAACTCATCCCAAGGGAAGTCAGATCCCACCAGGCTGGGGGGGGATTTATCCTGGCTGAGGAGGAGAGGGGAAAACAAGTCCTGCTGCAATATAAACCCTCTGGAAGCACGGAGGCAGCACTGTGGGTATTCCCAGGTAAATATCCCACACAAAGGCAGAGCTGATAAATCTGGGAGGGGAGGGGGAATTTTCTGCCGAATGGAGTCGTAGATACGATCCAAGGCGGAATTTTTACAGCCTTCTCCCAGCCTTTTGCTGGATACAACAGCAAAAACGGTGGATGTGACCCCTGGGGACACGGGGCGGGGGAACAGTTGCACCCCGATCTCAGAGGGCTTTCCCAACCTAAACAATTCCATGGATTCCAGGCCTTGGCAACTTGGCGAGCCCAGCCCAGCGAGCCGCTTTCCCTCGGGAAGAGGTTTTGTATCCCACGGGATGGAGTGGCTGCTCCTCACCTGCTCATAGATCTCGATGGCCTTCTGGTACTGCTCCAGCTGCGCTGCGTAGGCTGCCACCTTCAGCAGACACTTGTTGGCTGAGCTGCAAATCCACATCCCAAAAATCATGCCCTGTGTCCTGGGAATACAGCGGCCCATGCCCCACCCCCTCCATGTAGAGAAAACTGGGAGCCAACAGCTGGGATTTAGAGGAATTCCCTTTGTAACAGCCCCAGTTAAAACCACCTTGGTTCTAGGATGTCCGGGATGGATCCCTGCTCCAGCCCTTCCCGCCGATCCCGAGCACTTGCCTGTTGGACTCCTCTCCTTTGTAATAATCCGCGGCCTGTTCGTAGTGAGCGATGGCCTGGGGACAGAAACACCGGGATCAACATTCCTGGATCAATCCTTCTGGGATCCATCACTCCTGAAATGGCAGGGCTGCGCCTGGAGAGGCAGCACTGGCATTCATGGGGATAAATGGGGTCCAGCAGAGCAGAGCTGAGGGAGCAAATCATTCCCCAGAAAATAACACCTAAATCCCACCGACTTGTATCCTGCAAACTTCCAGCAGGAGATCCACAGCGGGATTCCTGCTCAGGGAGCTTGGGAATGGCAGTGAGGGAGTCAGTGCTCCACTGTGGGCTGGAAGTGACAGAAACAGCTCTAAAAGTGCCCCACGACACTCCCAAAGCACTTTTCCGGCGGGAAACGCCGTCTCAGTCACGTGGATTCCCACCGGAGCGTTCCGCCGGCGCCACTCGGCACAGGAGAGGCTTGGGATTGCTCCGGGCTGGGAAAACCACTGACTCCAAGCCGTGGCCGGACTGCACCTATGTGAGGAATCCCAGTGCCAGACGCTGGGAATTATTGGCAAGGAAATCACACAGTCACGGAATGGTTTGGGTCGGAAGGGATTAAAGATGAGCCACGGGCAGGGACATCTCCTGCTATCCCTCCTGCTCCTGGAGGATTGGACATCCCTGGACGCTTCCAGGGATGGGGAATCCACAGGTTTCTCGGGGAAGGCTGTGCCAGGGCCTCCCCACTCCCCCAGGTGGGAGTCAGATCCTCACCTTCTCGATGTCGACCAGCTCGGCCTCGTAGATCTCGGCGATGGTGATGTGGTGCTTGGCGGCGATGGTGAAGCGTCCCTAGGGCAGGGAGGGGGAGGGAAAAGGCAGGGAAGGGAGGGAAGGGGCTGTGAGGCGGGATCACCTGCGAGGCAGCCCCTCGGGGCGCCCGGGGTGCCCTTACCATGTCGGTGTAGATGTCGATGGCCGCGTTTAGGCAGTTGATGGCCTCTGCAGCGTGTGCGGAGAGACAACAGCGTCAGCCGGCCCCGCCCGCGCCCCCCATCCCGGCCGGAGCGTTCCCTGCGCTCCAGCCTCTCCAAGGAGCACCTACTCACCCGCCTGGAACGACACACCTCGTGTCTGCAACCCCAAACCCACGGCTGGGCCCACCCCCAGCACCCCCATCCACCCTGGAACCCGGAGAGAGAGACCCTCACCCACACCGGGGGGGCGGGATTGGGAAAACGGGAGAGATGGGGATGTAGGAAATGGGAGGGGGGGTGTCCATCCCTCAGTGAGGGTGCAAGAGATGGGAAGGGGGGGCAGGAACTAGGGAATGGTGGATACAGGAGCTGGGAAGGGGAGGCAGGAGATGGGAAGGGGGTGGCAGGAGCTGGGAAAGGCGGGGGATACAGGAGATGGGAATGGGAGGCGGGAGATGGAGACGAGGGACAGAAAAATGGGGAAAGTGGGATACAGGAGACAAAGGAGGAGGGAAAGGGAGGGATACAGAAGCTGGGAAGAGGTGATGCAGGAGCTGGGAAGAGGGGGGACACAGGAGCTGGGAAAAGGGGGGATCCTGGAGCTGGGGGAGGTCAGGAGCTAGAGTGGGGGCAGGAGATGGGGAAGCGGGTGCAGGAGATGGAGAGGGGGATACAGGAGTTGGGGGGGTCGCAGGAATTGGGGGTCTGCAATTCCCAAGGGGAACACTCCAACGCTGGGGTGGGCCAGCTACAAACAACCTGGATTCAAAGCATCCATCCCTGGGGGCTGCCATTTCCTTGGGAATTTGGGGGGGTTACTGCTATAAAAGGGTTTTACCCGCCCCGGGTTTGTTCCGTCGGCCCCCCAGCAGAGGAAAACAGGGATAATGCTGGTGGGGAGGTGGGGGGTTTGCTTCCACACCCTGAGCTAGGGAAAGGGGGATCAGAGCCCTTCCCAAAAAGCACAACCCTGCTCTTTGCAACCAGGTTTAAGGAATCCCAGATCCTTTATTCTCATCCCATCAGAGGTCAGGAGCGGGGAAAGCCCCGGGGACAAGACAGGGATCCCACTGGGATCCAGCCCAGCAACCTGCCCGAAGCATTCCAAGAAGCCACTACTTCCCTCTAGACAAGCCAAACCAGGATGGAAAGTGCCGAGGGGCAGCACTTCCCAGCCAACACAGCATTCCAAATCCTGCCAAGAGAAGATGCCAGGACCCGCCTGCATCATCCCAAAGCCTCTTCCAGAGAAGCAGGAGTGCTCCTCCGCTGCCACTGAGCGCTCGGCTGGGAACAATCCCGGATTCCGCTCCCGGATTCCGCTCCCTTACCTTGCGGATCCGCTTTTTTGTAGGCATTCCCGGCATCCACGAAGCTGGTGGCCGAGTCGTGCTTGCTCTGGAGCTGCATGTGGAGCTTGGCTGCCTGGCAGAAGGCGTTTCCTGCCGCTGGGAGAGAAGGGACAGGGATCCTGTGAACCCCTGGAATGAGCGGGATCACGCCTCTTCCAGGACCCGGGGTGGGGGGGGTTGGGAATGTGGGCTTCCCAGCAGGATTACCAGCTTAAAATTCACTGAAGATCCTTCAGGATGCCCACCCTCCCAGTATTTAAATAGGAGGAATTGCAGGGGCATAGAGCCCATTCCCCATGGGAACAGCCTGGGATAACTCACAGGAAGGCATTCAGGCCCTCGCGGCTCATCCCAGGATGAGGGAACCCCCCCACACGCAGGGATTGGACTCACCACTCCAGTTTTTGGCGATCTTGAACATGTTGGCAGCCCTGGTGTACATCTCACAGGCCTCCTCCACACGGGTGTTGCCCCTGGAATTCAGTGGGAACATCCCTTGAGGGACAGGGACAGGAAGGAACTCCGGCCCCGGAGCGGAAATCGGGATCGGGAGATTCGGCCCCTCCGGGCTCAACGAGGCCGATCCCCCCCCTCCTGTTAAAATGTGCTGCTGGGAGGGGAATCCTGGATTTGGGGTCTCTCCCCAAATTCCAAGATGCCAGACAGAGGAGGTCGATGTTTCTGTTGAGGAAATGCAGATTTTGTCCCGGAATCCCGGAGAAGAGGAGGCTCAGGGGGGACCTTCTGACAACTCCCTGACAGGAGGGTGGAGCCAGGTGGGAGGCTCTGCTCCCAGGGAACAATCCCAGAATCCTTAAGGTGGGAAAATCCCCCTAAGAACACCAAGTCCAACATCCCAAAGCCTCCAAACCCCCGTCCCCAAGTGTCAAATCCACCCGGCTCTTAAATCCCTTCACGCCCCAGCTCACAACGTGGATTATTTCCTTTTTTTCCATCCCTTGGGAATCCTGGCCTTTTTTTTTTCCCCCCCCTCCCCCCCCCCCTCCCTCTGGCAGCCGACCACGGTTCGTTTGGAAGCACAGGCGGGATTTTTGGATCATTCCTTGCCCTTGAAAGCTGCCTCTGGAATGAGCCAAAGCCAAGGGAGGTGGTGCCAGGTAACGCTACACCGGCACGGCCTCCAAAACTGAGCCTTTTTAATCCCCCAAAAAATAAAAATAAAGGAACAAAAACACTTATGCAAAGGGAATGGGGCAATTCCAGGAAGAGCCGGGGTGCGGAGAAGGTGTTTGCCTGGACACTGGGAGGCCTGGACACGCCGTTTCCCGGGAAAAGATGCCAAGAGCCGAGTCACCCCCCGCCACCTTTCCCTCCTCTTTTAATTTTTTCCTGCGTCTATTTTTAGCCATGAAAATTAAAAATTCTCCCTCTCGAAATCTCTGCCGGTTCGCTCCAAGGATTTTCAGGAATTTGCCGCCCGGATTATGCCCCCGGAGCGGGCCCTGCCTGATTAATCTGCCGGGAGGCCGGGCCGGAATTTCTATTTAAAACTTGTGGTTTCAGGGGCTGCGGCAGCTGATTTTTCCAGGCCCACGGATAGAAACGGTCCAGGCCTTCATGGAGCATCGCTCCAGGAACACTCTTTCCTTAAAATCCCAGATGGAGGTGGCCAAACCCACCGCCCTGCTGCCAGGAATAGCACGGGGAGCAGGGAAAAGGCGGCTCTGCCATTTTCTCCGGCCGCAGCAGCCGGAGCAGAGCCGGTGCCACCCGGGATTTTGGGAGAGCCCGGCCTCGCCGGGGTGAATCCCGGTGACGTGGTGGCCGGGAGATGATTCCCCCCGGGATAAAGCCGGGATGAGCGAGGAGCCGGATGCAGGGATGAGGGTCAGGAGCTGCAGAGGCCGAGAGCGCTCGGCACATCCCTGTGTCCATGGGCAGGAGGGGCTGCTCCGGGGGGGATTGGAGCGGGATGGGGCAGCTGCTGGATCAGCCCTGCTCCGTGAGACCCTCACCAACACCGGGGGGAGGGACTGGGAAAACGGGAGAGATGGGGATGTAGGAAATGGGAGGGGGGGTGTCCATCCCTCGGCGAGGGTGCAAGAGATGGGAAGGGGGGGGCAGGAACTGGGAAATGGTGGATACAGGAGCTGGGAAGGGGAGGCAGGAGATGGGGACGAGGGACAGAAAAATGGGGAAAGTGGGATACAGGAGACAGAGGAGGGGCAGGAGATGGGAAAGGGAGGGATACAGAAGCTGGGAAGAGGGGGGATACAGGAGCTGGGAAGAGGTGATGCAGGAGCTGGGAAGAGGAGGGATACAGGAGCTGGGGAGGGGGAATACAAGAGCTGGGAAAAAGGGGGATCATGGAGCTGGTGAGGTCAGGAGCTAGAGTGGGGGCAGGAGATGGGGAAGGGGGCGCAGGAGATGGAGAGGGGGATACAGGAGTTGGGGGGGATCGCAGGAGTGGGGGGTCTGCAATAATCGGGAGAAGGACGGATGCAGGAATTGCGGGGGGGAGATGCAGGAGCCGGGAGGGGGGGGATGGATGCAGAGGCCGGGAGGGGGGGGAGATGCAGGAGCCGGGAGAAGGGGGGATGCAGGAGCCGGGGCTCCCCCGCCGCGCTCACCCGAAGAGCCCCCTGAGGAAGGAGTGCGAGCCCTTCACCCGCTTCTCGGCCTCGGCCATGAGCTGCACGGCCTCCCGCTCCTTCCCCGCGCTGTCCATCGCTCCCGATGCTCTTCCTCCTCCTCCTCCTCCTCCTCCTCCGCGGCACCCGGAGCTCGGCGGGCGCGTGCGCGGGGCGGGGCGCGCGCAGGATGCGGGATCCGGGATGCGGGATGGATCCCGGATGGATCCCGGGTGGATGCCCGGCTGCGCTCGGCCCACGTGGGAGAGACCGGCTCGTCCCGGGGGGGAAAGTGTGTATAAAAGCTGGGACCCCTTTAGTCGTTCCCAAAGGTGGATTCCTTCGGGAGCTTCCAGTGCTGAATTCACAGGGAAGGGGAGCGGGATCCAGCGCTGTTGGATCTGGGTCAGCTCGATCCTGGAGGTGTTTTCCTGCAGCTCCGATGCTGCTTTTATTTGTGCCACTCTCCAGGTTTCCAGGGAATTAGCTCTCCCGTAACGCAGGGCAGCCGAAGCTCAGGCTCCACGGAGGAGGGCTGCCCTTTCCTGGGAATATCCCGCCCCAAGGAAAAAGGCAGGAGAAGGGGCAGAAAACGGGCCTCGCTCGCACCTGTGTCCTGCCCCCGTTGCCTGAGCACAGGGGGCTGATCAGCAACGTCCCTACACGGGGGAAACCGGGACATTCCTGCCCGATCCTTCCCTGGGATGATGGAATTCCATACCCCCGAGCAGCCACTCGGGACTACAACTCCCGGCGTGCCCCGCGCCCGCGCGCCGCGATGACGTCACCACGCGCTGTCGCCGTCTCCATGGCGACGCTGTCGCGTCCCGGTGGCCGCTCCCACGGGAACGTCCCGGCCCGGGAACACCGGGAATGGCCCTGGGGATGGAAGACCCTGCGATCCCCCCGTCCCCGCTGCCCCGGGAACACCCTGCGATCCCCCGGGAAAGGGAATCCCGGCGGCAGTGTCCCAGGAAATGCAGGTGACTCTTTTAGGGTTGGGAGAAACTAAACCAGGAGCCTTTCCCAAGCCGGGAGCTGCCATCCACATCCAAGCTTGCTGGCAAAACCGGTAGCTATTCCACACCGCCTCCCAAATAATCCCAGGTTTTGTTTCCCTTTTCCAGGCGGGACAACGTGGAGCCTTTTCCTCTCTCTGAGCTCGGGCTCCCAGCAGAAAACAAAGCTATCCAGGGAATCCTCTGCCCCATGGCTGTGGAGCTCTGCCACCTCCTCCTGGCCCTGGAACGAGAAGATGGGATTTGTGAGGCCTTTCCCAGCTTAGGGGAGAAGGCGGAAAAACTGGCCAAAGCCCTGGAAGAACTCGCTGCTGTGGCAGGAAGGTGAGCTGGATGGGAGGCTCAGGGGGATGGGAGTCTCCCGGGTGGATTTGGGGGCTGGGAAGAGATGGAAAAGCTGGTAAGGAGCCTGCATCCTCGGGGAGAGGTAGGATCAGGAATGGGGAATAGAAGTGGGTAGGAAAAGCAGGGATATGTGCTTGGAAGGGACACGGCAAAGCAACACCTCAGCAAACCACGCTTAAGATAAACACATCCCAAAGGAACATTCTGTGGATTTAAGGAATGCTTTGGCAAATCCAGAGCCCAAACCCACAGATCCTGGCAGAGAACACCCACCTTCCAGAGGCAGATCCCAGCCAGCCCTGGGGTGGGGAATGGTTGAGATAACACTTCCCATCCGTGCTGCTTCCTGGCCCGCCGGAGCGCTGAGCCCAACCCTCCCATTCCAGGCTGGCCCAGGAGTCCAGCGAGGAGGGGACCACAGAGGAGATGTGTCCCATGGCCGAATCCCTGGAGCAGGCCGGGAGGGATGTGCTCCTGGCAGCGCTCCGGCTCCAGGAGCACCCGGAGAGCCCTCAGCTCCGGGAGCACCTGGCAGCGGCCGCCAGGAGAGTCCTCACGGAGACAGCGAAGGTGAGCGGGAAGGTGGGAAGGGACGCGAGCTGGGGAAGCTCCAGCAGATCTGTGGAGCAAACCGCACCTTCTCCCCCCTTCAGGATGAAACAGGGATGGGAATTCCTCACTGGATTTTGTGCCTCGTTCCCTGGTTAGGTCCTTCAGCTGGAAGAGGCCGCAGGGATGAGGCGGATCACCCGGGCAGCCGGCCGGCTCCTGGAGTGCCTGTGTGTGCTGCGGGATGCCCGGGACACGCCGGGGCTCCTGGCAGCATTCCAGGCCTTCTCCGAGGCCGTGCTCCTGCTGAGCCGCCTGACAGCCAAGCGCCTCCAGGAACTCGGGGACAGTCCTGCACGGAAGAGCTTGGCCCACACCCTGCAGCTCCTCCACCGGTGTGTCCCCCTGCTCCACGGAGCCGTCAGGCATTCCAGGGATCCCCGAGCCGACCTCTCCGGAGACGACGCTTTCCAGCTGACAGAGGGGACCATCAGGGAGCTCCTCTCCCTGCTCACGGAGCCCCGGGACAGGAGCGGGATCTTCTCCCAGCAGGTGAACATGCTGCTGGATCTCCTCTCCCACCCGGACAGGCTGCGCCTCTCCGAGGGCGGGCTCAGCTCCCATCTGGAAGCGGTGGTTCTCCATGGAATGCTGCTGGCAGACTCATCCAGGCTGGATCTGCAGCTGGAGCTGGTGGAACGCTGCTGGGTCCTGCTACAGCTGAGGAAGAGCATGAGGCGGTTGGAAGGATGTCCAGGACAGGGCCGGGGAGAGCATGGATTGGAGCAGGAATGTCACAGCATGAGGGAGGAGCTGGAAAACCTGGACCGGACCGTGCTCAGGGCCACTCTGTGCCAAATCCTCGAGGGATTCTTTGAGGAGAAGGAGCCCCTGAGGCAGTTAGTTGAAGGTACCCTTGCTCTTGCTGGTTCAGGGTGTTTTCCAGCAGGACCAGGAGGAATTCTAAGGAAGCTCCAGCCCCTCACCGCCGCCCTCTTCGCTCAGGCCCAGCAGATGCTCCGAGCGGCCGAGCTGGTTCTGGCCCGGTGCACCAAATCCCAAACTGCCAGGGAAATCCGGGAGTGGGTGGAGCACCTGCAGAGCCTCCTGGGCAGCCTCCCTTCCCTGCTCCTGGAAAGGAGTAGGAACACCAGAGCAGAGCAGCTCCAGGCCCTGTGCCACGCCTGGGCTGGAGCCACCGGCAGCCTCCTGGGCTGCTTCGAGGAGACGGTCGGCACACGGCAATTCCTGGAGCTGTCTGTCCTGGAGATGGCCAAGCACAGGGAATGGTGTGAGGCGGCGCTGGGACGCCAAGATCCCAAGGGATTCTCCTGGCACGCCGCTCGCCTCACCAGCTGGGCACGCTGGGTGGTTGGAGCCACTACCCGGCACGTGGACAGGGCCACAGATCCCATCTTCAGGAATGGCCTGCTGGTGTGGGTGGAGCAACTGGCCAATTCCATCCTGGAGCTGAGGGCAGTGCCAGCCCACTGCCTCCAATCCCGGGATGCCTTTTCCCAGGCAGCCAGCCGCCTGATGGATGCTGCTCTCCGTGTCCAAGCCGGGCTGGATGGGTCCAACCACCCGGATATCCTCAGCCCGCTCCGGGAGCGAGTGCGGAGCACCGAGGTGGCAAAGGGGCCAGAGCTCAGCCCGTCCCACGCTGGGATACAAACCAGTATGGATGAGGCCACATTCCACGGTGACATCCCAAGTCCTCCATCTTCGCCAGCAGGCACCTTCCACCCGGATGTTCCGTGGGAAGGGGGTGCACACCCTGCCATCACAGCTCTCCTGGCAGCATCCCGAGCCCGGGACACGGCCGCTGTCGGTGCCGCTGGCTCTGCCTTGCTGCAGCTCTCCGAGGGCTGTGTGGATGCAGCACGGGAAGCACTGCCCGTGGCCGAGCCCCCCCAGCTCCTGGTGCTGGGACAGCACCAGGACATCGCAGCACTGACCCCCAGGATTATCAGCCTGGCCATGGAAACGGCCCGCAGCCAGCTCCGTGCTCCAGGCAGGCTGATCCACATGGCACTCAGGCTCTCGGGAAAGATCCGGGACACCCAGCAGTGCCTGGCAGCCATGGCAGGCTCTTGGAATAGTCTGTCCCAGCAAGTGCTTGGGTTTATCTCGTCAGGTGACTTTCCAAAAGGGAAGCAGGCTTTGGATGAGGCCATGCTGGCTTTAGCAGGAGCAGTGCAGTTGGCAGGAGACATTGCAAGCACAGCCTGTAGTAAGGAAAATCCCATTCCCTCCCAAGCTTGGGATAGCTTTCTGCAGGTCCAAGCCAAGTTTTCCCATGCTCAGCTGAACACCAAAGTGTTCCTGGAGAAGGCAGAATCCTTCAGGGGCTCCTGTGGGATGGAAAAGGCCATGCTGGAGCTGCACGGTGTCCGGTGGGCCGTGGGCATGTGTGTCCTGCTGCACGCCATGGATCGCTTCATGGGAAGGGATGTGCTGTTCCTGAGGGAGCTGAGCAGGGCCGTGAGGAACAAGGTTGGCTCACGGAGCCTCCTGGCTGCCGTGGCCGAGAATTCCCTGAGGCTGCAGGAGGCCGCCCGGCTCTCTTACCTGTCCTGTCCCAGAGACCGTGGTGCCAGGGAAATCCTGGCGCTCCGGGGGGAGATCCAGGTGCTCATGGAAGCGCTGCTGGATGTCTCCAACACCCTCCTGGTCTCCCCACTGCCTTCAGCCAGCCTGTCCATCCGCTTCGAGCTCCTGTGGAGGGACATGGCCCTCAGGGTCAGGGTGTTACTGCTCCACCTGGAGAGGGCCAACACGGAGCAGCTGCACGTCATCCAGGACGTGGTTGGAGCAGCCCTGCCCGGCCTCTCCCACGAGGAGAGGGACAGGAGCAAGGAGGCCTTTGAGGAGAAGGCGAGTCGGCTCATGGCTGACGTCCAGTGGGTCAGGAACACCCTCCGGGACGCTCTGGAGGCTGGAGCTCAACTGCCACCGCGGGACAACCCGCTCTCCACGGCGGAGCACCTTCTGCTCCTCACGGCCCACGCCGTGGGCAGCGCCCGACGGAGCCTCTGGAGCCACCGGGACATGGGGGATGCCCACCTGGCCACCTGGGATCCCCAGGACACAGGGGATGCCCACCTGGACAGCGTGGTGTGGTACTGGTCAGCCCAGGCCCACTACCTTCTCACACAGCTCCAGGCCACCCATGGCATCAGCACAGACGTCCTGCGGCGCATCACGGAATGCCTGCAGCGGGACCGGGCATTCCCAGGACAATCCCAGCTCTGCCCAGCCCCACAGCCCACTGAGGCAGCGGGAAGTCGCCCGCTCGGGAGCAGAGCAGGGAGTGGAGCTCCACAGGAAGCAGGTGAAATGGTACAGTAGCTCTTTTTCCCTATCAGCTTTTCCTGCAGGGTGATGGTCGGTCACTCCTGGTGCTCCCAGCATGGAGTGGGAATGTGAGGGATGCTGGCAGGACCTCTGGAGGTCAGCACTCTGACCCTGGGCAGCTCAGGTTGCTGGCAGCCCTGGAGTCCCGATATCCGATCGGCATCAGCAAACCCATCCCAAACTCTGCCATTCCAGAGGGGCAAGGGCTGTACCAGTCTCCCTCACCTTCCCACAAGCTCCCTCTGGGAATACCAGCAACTCCACTCCCACAGCAAACACTGCTGGGTGTTGGGAGCTGGGAAAGGCTTTGGCACATGACCCAGGTCCCTCAGGAGAACTGTTTCAACTATGCTCTGAACTGTGCACTGTCAGCTCACGTGACAGCTGCTCCCATTTGGAGCTGGCTCCAGGGGCTTTGGATCTGGGAAGAAGGGCTGGTGGGGAGTTGGAACAGACGCAGCAGGGCTCCCGCCTCTCCCACCAACTTTACTCACCAAAATCTGTTTCAGAAGCAGGCAGGTGGAGGAGGCCACTCGGCACCGCCGTGTCCGCACGCTCCGGACCTGGAATCTCTTCCATTATTGTCTGGACAGCAGCGGGATGGCCCTTCCAGCATCTCCCCTGCAAAGCACAAGAGAGGAAACTGTGACACACAGCAGGGCAGCCCCAGCAAGGTGTCCCAGGTCATCCAGGACATGGCAATGAGGATGCTCCACATGGCTCAGTTCCTGAGGAAGAAGGGCCCCATTGCGGTACGCAGCATTCCACCCCTCCACTTCTCCCTCAGGATCACAAAGCCCATCCCAAATCCCTGTGTCACTCTCTCTCAGGAGAGAGGCACCAGCTCTATTTATGCAAAATACTCAAAATTCCTTCCTCTTGGTTAGATGTGAGCTTGGCATCCCATCCTTTCCTCGTTCCAGGATGCATCCGGGCCTCATGTATCCTTCCCTGTCCTGCAGGAAAAGCTTTTTCCCCCTTCCCTCCCCAGTCCCATTGATTTTTATCCCGTTTTAGAGCAAGGAGCAGTTTGTTGCCTGTGCCAGGCAAATCGCTTCCGACGGGCAGGTGGTTGTCAGATTTGGGCACATCCTTGCCAAGCAGTGCCCGGACCAGAGATGCTCCACGGAGCTGCTCCGCGCCTCCGAGCACACCCACACCCTCAGCAGCCAGCTCGGCATCGTGGCCAGGTGAGCTGCCAGGCCCAGGGGTCACCTCTCCCAAGGTCCTCCCAAGACCCTGGAGAAGGAATGTGCGGGGTGGCCCCCGGAGGTCCTTGTGGGCGGTGGGAGTTCGGACACCATTCGGAGGGTTCCCTCTCCTGCCCGGGTTTCCCCGCTCGGATGGCACAGGGGACGAGCCGGGTTTGGAGTAATGACACTGTGGGATGCCCGATTCCCTTCCAGTAAAACCCTCTGGAATGTCTTTTCAGGGTGAAAGCAGTGACTGGGGAGAGCAAGGCCTCCTCGGAGCTGCTCCTGAGCAACGCGCAGAACCTGGTGCGAGCGGTGCGGCACCTCCTGGGCGCGGCCGAGGCGGCCTCTGTCAAAGTGAGTGAGCCTCGGGATCAGCCACGGGATCAGGGAATGCTTGGGGGCACGGGGAAGGGTTGCTCCAAGCCCCGGGTGCTCTGGGACTCCAGCTGGAGCAAACATTCCTCCTGGGATGTTTTTATTCCGTGCCTTTCTGTCTCGTTTCCAAAGCCCACCTTACACCTTCCCAGGTATTGTTCCTGGAGTCACCTTTAGCTGGAAATAGTCCCTGCCAATCCCCTTTATTCCCAAAAGCCAAGCTCCCACGAGCTTTCCATGCAGCTGCTATCAATAGCCAACTGATCCAACTGGAAACAGTCTGTGGGAGCAGATTTTACCTGAAAACACTTGGAAAACAAGTGCAACCACCACCAGCCTCTCCTGAGGCAGTATTTCCAGCTGAGTCCCATCCTCCTCTACAATCCTACAACATTTTCTGGGATCAGCCTGTCTTTTTTGAAGGAGACAGTTTTTTAAAATCCCATTCCCTGTATAATCAGCCCCAAGGGTGACAAAGCTCCTCCTGTGTTAATTAATTGCCCAAACTTAAAACTTCCTATATTTGTCCATTTTTCACTTCGCTGATTCCAGCCTGGATTAATCAATTAATTAATCTTGACTGTCTAGATTCCAAAGTCCTTTTTGACCTGGAAATCTCCCTTTGGAAATTTCCCTGCTTCTCAAGAAACTGCACTCCTTTTCTCTCCCTGTAAGCACCTTTTTGAGCATTTTTAAGCATTGTGAGCATTAAGAGGTAGAAATCCCACATGGATCAGCTCACATCCAGACTTTCCTGTCATTTAGGATGTACAGGGATATTTAAAGCAATTATTTTGTCCAACAGGGTTTGGGACAACCCTCACCTGACCCTGAAGCGGAAGAAGTTGCTGCTTTTTGCCTGCAGTGGAAGAAAAACCTGTCATGGCACAGAGCCAAGGAGGCTTTAAATTCCAACAGGGATGAGTTAGGTCTCCGCAAGACTCGGGAAGCAAAGGCGGAGCCCACCCTGATGGCTGGGGTGCAAGAACCACCCCCTCAGACCAGGAATATCCCAAAGCATCCCAGGCCCAGGAAAGGACACACAGCTATGGACAGACACCTGTAAAACCAGGGAGGGGCTTCTCATCCTGATGGCATGGGAGTATTTGCAAGATGAAGGATTCGTGTTGGAGCGTTTCCATTGTGGCAGGAAAATCTTGGAAGAGGCTCCGTGGGGAGGCCAGGAATGTTCTGGTGAGTGTTTTACCCACAGGGCAGCAAACACCAGGTGGTGACACAGGCTGGACAGGGCTTGGAGCAACCTGCTCCAGTGGGAGGTGTCCCTGCCCATGGCAGGGGTGGGATGGGATGAGTTTAAGGTCCCTTCCCACCCAAACCATTCCAGGATTTTATGATCCAGAGTTGCTCAGTCTTTCTGCACTGCAGAGAGCAGACAAGGTCACAGATCACATATCCAGGGATACAGATACGTTTTTATTGTGTCCCTGATCTTGCAGATTTCCTCCCAAAATCCCCCTCAGCCCCAGGATTTTCTCCTACCAAGTAAAACCTTCAGTCCCGACCATCACCCACCTCAGAGCTTCCAGAGGATCCCAGACTGGTGCCACTGGCTGCTCCTGCATCTCTGGCTCTCCACATCCATCCTTCACAGCCTCAGGGGACGGAGCTGCAGGTGTCCCATGGAAACGCTGATCCATGCCGGAATACCGCGCATGCAGGAGGGCTGGAAACAAGCCTTCCCTGTGGAATTCACAATCCAACACCACAGCAGATCACAACTGGCTGGATGCACAGCCCATTCCAACCCACCTTGGTGTCCCCACCTGCCTCTCTATCATGTTCCCCGTAGCAGGAATTCTGTTACCTGTGTGGTCGCAAGGAATCTCCTCCGTGTTCCAAGGGAGAGCAGCAGGCACACCGGAGATTCTGGGGAGCAATCTGCAACGGATAAAGCGGGGAGCAGGGGTGGATGGAGGAGCAGAGCAGCCCCAGAGGTGCTGGGAGGGTCCGTGGGGACCTGTGGGGTTGGGGGAGAGGAAGGAAGGGAGGAAGGCAGGAAGGAAGGAGTGAGTTACAGAGTTACCCAGGCTGTGAGGACCCGCTGGCCTTTGTATCCACGTCCCATTTCCACACCATTTTTCCCTGCTGGCTTGGTTTTTTTGAGGAAAACCCTGACCAGCCACGCTTGTCACTACATAAAGATGTAATTACGCAGAACTAATGCATCACTCCAAAATAACAACCAGGTTCCCTGTCCCTTACCCAGTTTTCCTATTCAGAAGACCATAAAATTAATGGAATTTATGCTCTGGGAAATCAGGGAGGCAAATTGAAACCGCAATTGCCTTTGGAGATGTCTCCTCTGCCATGAAGGAATTACCAGCTTCCCTTGGTTCATCCCTGCAAGAAACCAAAACCTCAGAATTTGGGATAAACTGGACTGTCCCAGTGGAAGCATCGCTTGGGCCAACAAAGAAAGAAGAGGAAAAGGTGCACCAAGGAAGAGACTTAAGGCAAAGAAACATTCCAAAGGGGCGGGAAGCAGGTGGTGATGGAGCAGCCGGCAAGTTTTTATTGGAAAGGCAGCTGGGCTAGGAATGACTACACTTCCTCTGGAGGAAAAGCAACCCAAAAGGCAGGACAGGAAGCTTGGAGGACATTTGTGTTCCCCCATGGAAATTAAAGACATGCAGGACGTTTTGGAGTGGAAAGTGGCAACTCTCTCCAAGAGGGGCCTTGGAACCAGGTAGATGGTTAAGAACCCACCAACCATCCCACTGTGCTATCCCACGGCATTATCCCCCTCATCCCAGCGTCCCCACGGAGTCACCACCAGGGATTAACGGTACCCTTTTTAATTGTTTTGTTAAAAATGTCGCCGAGACACCATGAATACAAGTACTGCGGTTACAGCCATACAAAAAAAGCAATACAAATTAAGCAGCTGAATACAAAAATACGTTGAAATACATGAACACCACAATGGAACTCGGAGCACTAAATCCCAATCGTGTAGGTGTGGAAAAGAAATTAAATAAAAACCTTTTTTTCTTCTCGTATTAGACAACGTAGTTCTCTCCACTTTGAACAGTTACTTCTCCTAGTTATGTACTTCACAATTTTTTTCTATGTACAGCATAGAATAAAATACTTTGAAAAGATATGACATTTTTTTTCATCCTCAATATGCGATAGAGTCTCTTTTACACTAATATTGACTGCAGGAATAAAAACTGTCCGTGTCTTACACCAACGCATCGGAAAAGGAGGAGCGACGGTTTCCTTGGAATTCATTTACGCAGGTTTTCCATCGGTTCGGGGGTTTGGCAGTCCTGGAACGGCGTCTCTCCCGGGAATTAATGTACATAATATTGCTTGGATCTATACAAATGTGGCAATCAGATCTAAGTGGTGGTTGGGAAGAGGCAGCTCACACATATACAGCTCTGGGGATTTTCCATGACTTATTTACAATGAAAGTGCTTTTCTCAGCTCTAACACGATCCGGGGGGGATTGGTTTCCTTTCTACAGGTCAATTATTAGTCTCCCTGAAATTGGAAAAAAAAAAAAAAAAGGATTCTCTAGAAAATACCACAGCTTTGCAAACACTCGAGCGCACTGGAGAACTGCGTGTGGTTCGGGATTAGCAGCTGAAAAGTGGTGGGAATTATAATTTAAAAATAAATAAAGCCAAAAGAGGTAACCCAGGTACAAAACAGCAGAGAACTGCAATATCCACAACGGTAAAAAGGCTCCAAAGCCATCTGCTAACAAAACGGGGAAGCGGTTGGATCGAAAGTCTTGAAAACATCTTTCAAGGATTTATCATCCGACTCCCCGTTGGGATCGTTCTCCGGGGTCTGCGTTACCTGTCCGGGCTGCCTCACCTGCCTGGGGTCGCTGTACTGCGGCCTGATTAACCCCGACAAAGCCTGGATCGGGAGATTATGCACGGCAGGAGCAGCGCTGGAGTGTTTAGCCTGAGATTTACTGGTGCTGTTCGCTTTGTCTGAAGCAGCCTCCGCTGATCCTTCCGTGGTTTTTTCCGCGTTGGAGGCGGCTTTCTGCAGGGACGCGTCTTCCGCCAGGCTGGGCTCGCTTTTACTGGAATTTTTCAAAATACTTTTTTTCTGGTTCTCTCCGTTCTCCCCCGAACTGGCTGGCGCCGTGTCCGAGGCGGAGCCGTGATCCCTGGGATCATACAAACTGATCCCGCTCAGGATGGAGCCGGGCGTTCCCAGCCTGACGCCGCTGGAGGACAGTTTGGGCGCGTACGGAGGGAGAGCGTCGGGGTCGGGTTTCGGAGTCGCGGCTTCCGAGGGCTGGGATGAGCTGGCGGCAGCTCTGGCGAGCCGGGGGTCAAACTTGGGAGGGTGGGAATCCTTCCCGACTCCGTGGTGCGCGTCTGCGCTCGACAGTCTGTGGAGTCTGGGATCCACGTTCTTTTGCAAGCGGGGATCCCCCAGTTTGCTGGAGCTACTGGCGTGGGAATCCGCAGCCGGATCCAAGTAGCCGCTCCGGCCCGCGAGGCTGTTCTTGGCCTTGGCAGCGAGCCGGGGGTCGGCCGGCATCGCGTTTGGGTGCGGATCGTTCTTCAGGTTCCGCAGTTTGTTCAGTCTCTGGTCGGCAATGAGCGGAGGGAGAGGTAAATTGATGGAAGAGACGGGGTCGGGCTTAGGCAAAGGGATTGGGAGCAAGTCCTCGGGGGCCCAGACGATGTGCTTGGCAAAGTTGGGTTTCATCAGGGTCACATCCATCTTGATGTGGCTGAACTGCCGGAGCTGGGAGCGGGGATCCCTTAACGTGACGCCGGGCAAAGGTTCCAAGGGAATGAGGAAAGCCCGTTCCCTCAGCTCTCTTTCCGAGTCCTCCTCGTCGTCATCCATCCCTTTCTGCTTGACTTTGACTCCGGCGTGCGCGTGGTGCAAATCCAGCTTGGCCGCCCCGAGGGAGGAGCCGGCGTGGCCCTCGCTCACCTTGTGCATCCGCGGATCGCGGGCCAGCCGGGGGTCCAAGGATGCCGAATCGGAGGGTTTCCTGGGATTGGGCCTTGGAGAGGCCCGAAGTCTCGGGTCAGCAGTCTGAGGCCCCATACCTTTGTCCTTGGCCAGCCGGGGATCCGTAGGAATTCCCAGCATGTGCTGCTCCGTGGAATGTTGCTGCCGATTCCTAAAGTTTTCGCTCTGCTTCTTTAAGGTTTTGAGGATCGATTTAACACTGCTCCCCTCTTCCTCCTCGCTACTGGAATACCAGTTGACATTGTCATCTAGAAACCAAAGAAATTCCAAAGAGTTTCGATTATTCAAGCAATTAATCCCCAGAGAATCCGACACATTTACTCCACAATGGGAAACTTCTCAGTGAAATCAAGCTGAAAAGATCTGACATTAAATCATAACTCCCTGTGTTATAAAAACAGTATCTAAAATGACAAAACTCCATCTAACCAAAGAACTGACATATCAAAAAATCCTGGAGGTACTGGAAATACTCCCAAGCTCTGCAATGTTCTCTCTCCATATCCATCAATATTTGGGAAAATAACCTGCTTCCAAACAATTCTAACAGTGCTGGCGAAAAAAACATCTAAACTCTGAGTCTCGATGGGAGAATGAAAAGTAAAATGGCCCCTTAAAACCAGATAAATGAAAAACCTGCTGCCTTACTATAATCCAAATCCCAAGGTTTGGGGGAGAAATCAAGATTCAGGGTGGGAAGAAATAAGAATATTTAATTTTAAAGGACATCACAGAAGAAAAAATACTGCTCTAGAAAAAAAGATCAAGAGGTGCAACTGAAAAACCAGGATCTAGGATGCACTTGCATTCCTGGCAGTGAGAAACCTTTCTGGTTCAATCAGGGATTTTCAGAAGTAATTATCAACCACAGAACCTTTTAAAAGTGCCACTAGATCCATAAATTATCCATGGATCTTCTTCCTTGGAGCTAGGATGAAGCAACTAATCCCGTACTAAAATCCCAGAAGAAGCTGGGAAGAAGAGCTGAAAATACTGAGTGGCTGCTTGTGCATCCCCAATAACATGAGCGGTGATGCAAATCAGTGTCACAGCAGATTTATTCCCAGCTAATTCCCAGCCAAGAACCGGGTCGAGAATTCCGACAAAACCCTCCTCACCTTCGTCTTTGCTCATGGCCCTCTGGCCCTGGCTGCTGGCAGAGTCTCCATCCCGTTGGTGCTTCTGGCTGAGCCTGGCATACAGGGCCTTCTGCATGGCGGGCAGGAAATCGGGCACGTTGAGGGCCTGGTTGTGGCCCATGTGGCCGCCCATGCATTCCGACTCGCTCCCGCCCGCGTGCGACTCCTGAGCCATGAGGTGAGCCTGGTGGTCTGGGAACTCTCCGTGCCATGTTCCATCTGCAGGAGAACAAAGCTCCGGTTAGCACCTATCCCAGAGAAGTTTTCATAGCTATAAGACATGGAATCATGGAATGGTTTTGGTTGGAAGGGACCTTAAAGGTCCAGTACCAACCCCCTGCCATGGGCAGGAACACCTTCCACTAGCCCAGGCTGCTCCAAGCTCCATCCAACCTGGCCTTGCACACTTCCAGGGGCAAGCCACAGCTTCCCTGG